GGGAAGGGCGGAAGGGGGTCGTGTAAATCGACTCGTGAGCATACACGAGCGTTTCGAGCGACGCGAGTTTCGTTCTACGTGGTAGGAAAAACGCGCGCGTGCTTCCTCGGCCGAAAAGCTCGTTTGCATAATTCGCCGATGATGTCGAGGAGACGATGGCGGTCGCGGAAAAAAATTCGGGCAGTCTTTCTCACCCTCGAACGGTGGGAGGGGACAGTCCGCGCGCTAATCCTGGCGCGTTTTAACTTTTACTTTAACCCCGTATATCACCTACTTATTTTTCATCCCGCTGTCGTTGGATTAAGCGAGCGGATCGTACCTTGTCAATAATAGACGTTTATATATCGGAGCCGGATACACTTTACGGAGCATCGTCGAACCCCGTCCGACTTCCGGTCTATCTAACCAACGGAATCGTGTGCTGTGAAACCGGCGCGTCGCTATACATATATAGATACATACACCTACATACATACATATAAAATTAATCAAAAATTAGATTATATATATATGTAATATTTGGTTAATTTTTTATTTGCAACTAACAATAAGCCACAAATTGAAACGTTAAGTTTTATCGAAAGCGATATATTAATTTTTGTTCGATATAGACCGTTACAACGAATTTAATACGTTATAACGAATCGTTATAATTAAATAAAGTATAGTGCGTTCGGATTATATAAGTCAACGCTCGACTGGTATCTCGACAAAACAGAGCCCTTGCGCGTCAAGGATCAGCTCGTCGAGCGCGAAACTGACTTTACAAACCGCGCTCCGCTGGTTACGCAAGCGACATTCGTCTATCGTGATCGCGGAATTTAGGTCAAACGACGTGTCCTCCGTTACTATCGGTGGTCCGCGAAACGTCATAAATTCCCCGCTCGTTTATTAACTTTTTACCGTTCTATCAGCGCGCGCGTGCACGCGAACTAAGCAACGATCAAGGTAATCTATAATGGAGAAAAATAAACGCGTTGACCTGCGAGTAATGCGATCGATCGAGTTTGAAGCGAGTTCGTATAAACGTCGAGAAGAATAACGTATCCGCCGTGGTTTAAAAAAGACACGTGGTTTTTGTAGCAAAATTTAATTATGAGACTCGGCAATGAAATAATATTAAAACTAAAAATATTTCTAATTTATTCTAGACAATATTCATATTCTTATCCCACTCTTTTCTTAATTGATACAGTGGATCATGATATCATTTCTCTCTTGGCGCACGAGATTTTTGTTGCTGTGCTTCGCGTAGAATTTTCAAAGTAAGCTCGTGTCGAAGCGTACAACGTATTATGTAGCATATCGATATCAGCATTCGTGTCGACGAAGCGAGTATTGCATGTACCCATTTATACTTTCATTTAGCTTAAGTCAACAAAATGTGAATCACCACGAGTGGAATGGCCGACGCTGACGTTGAAATCGGGTAGTGGCGGTCGGTCAATGCCCACGCGCTAGCCACGTGGTTTGACAGGGCTCCGTGCTCAATTATTTCCAGAGCTCTCGCTCTGAATATGAGATAATTGACAATCCTAATCTGTCGACGTTCGTCGCAATAATACCGATTCGATCGTCATTGTAAGAGTAATAAAAAAATATTGTAATCGATGAGAGCCTCGCGGATATATGAAAAAGCCGACGATGATTGATAGTCTTATATTGTTCATATTTTAATATTTAATCATGTCGATCAGAGTCACGAGAAAAGAAACTATAGCGAGTGTGCGATCTTTTTCTGAATCTCGAAAAACTACACGCACGAATAGTCGTAGATAATTGGCTATCCGCCCGCACACAAGATGGTAAATCACAACAAGATCTAAAATAAGTGGACCGACCGATCCAAACCGCCTCTCAGAAAGGTCAGTCGTCTTGTGTTACACTTCCTGATCGATGATTGACGTTCGAAAGAAAATCCATCATTTTTTTCCGGACGTATTCAATGAGGATTCATCGATAGATTGAGATCGATCCGACATGCGTGCACGAAGAATAAAATTTCACTTCAAAAGGGGCCCCCTTCGTTCTCTTTTTTCTTTTCGAGAGATGAATCTTGTCGGATGTATAATGCTGAAAATTTTGTGGATGAAAGCGTTCATAACTATGATTATAATACGTTGTTTCTGACGTTTGATTTAAAATAGAATAGAGTATAAATTGCTCTTGTTTTTTTATATACAGTATTTTTTTATGATATATAGTACATAAGACTGAAAATTTCTCGAAACGTTGATCATCGAGCATCTCCCAGCGTGTGACAAATGTTCTGCGAGGAAAGGAACTCTCCTTGCAAGCTCAGCGTGGGTCCGACGCGACGTCCTGTCTATTTATAAACCGATGCATAATATAACGTGTATATACTCACATATGCGACACCATGCCACGTGTATCAGAGTATAAAATACGATTCTCGCATTTGATGGCATCGCTCCACGAGAAATTGACTATGTCATATAATAGATGAATTTGGTGAGGAGATTTGGTGAGCATTCTTAGAGGAAAACAACGATCAGAAGCTTATAGCTCGATTCACGATGCTTGTTGAACTATGGAAACCATTTCAGCCGCCTCGGCCTACTTAAGTCGCGTCGTTATTTTTAGCATTAGGGTCACACCGCCGTGTAGCTTGGCTCTAGAAGTACCATCTTTTCTTCTTACAATTCGAGTCGACTAACTTTCTAAACCCTTCGCGTCGTTTTTATAATCTTGTAACGATCGTAAGCTCGATTCACTTATGTCTAGATCAAAAAGTTCTTTCCATAAAATTAACGATCCCGAATAAAAATTCGAAAAAAAAAAAAAAAATATTTGAAAGAGAGAGACTTTATATCGCGTAGATGTATCGAAATTTATTCCAGGATTCATCTAAAAAATCCATTCAAAGAAAATAGATTTTCCTATAAAATTAACACACGTGTGTGCGAAAGGTAGAAAATAAATGCGGATTACGTTTGTTGCAGAGTTATCGAAAGATTGCACGGCAAGTGAATACGCCTGACAGCGCACCAGCTGGTCTTGGTAGTCCGCAGGCTGGTATCGGCGGTTTACAACAACAACACCAGCAACAAACGCAACAATCTTTGCATCAGGGAGATCCCATGCAGCAGACCAAGGACAATCTCAACCCCGCGGCGAACCAACAAACGGGCGCCTTGAGGAACGGCAACCCGCCACCACCCGTCGTTTCTATGGTGAGTTTTAGCTTCCTGTCAAAATTGTTTCAATTCACGCGAAGGACAATCTCTGCTGCGCCTCTAGCCTTTTTATTACAAATATATATGTATTTAACATTAATTATTTTATATTAAAAAAATTAGCTCGAACGCGTAAGACATATTTGTTAGATGCGCTTCGAGATATTATCGAGCAGCGAATTAAAAAGAAGGCAAAATTGAAAATCTACGCGGGAAAGGGTTTCTCGCGAGGGTTTAATCGAACCGATTAGGACGTGTAAAGGGTAGTTTTAACATTCGTGGAGCGACGTTGCTCACGCGACGGTCCATGGCTGCAAAGGAATCGACTGCCGAAATAGCGGCGTAACATGGAGGGCAAGGGTAGACTACTGGCAGACAGTGAGTGCGGGGGCGGTGACCGGCCGCCAACGCGAATCAATACCCGCAGGAACAGGAACCACCGACCTACCGAGAGAGACGAAGATAGCGAGAAAGAGACAGAGAGAGAAGAACGACGTGTCCCGGGGACGAAAGGAGAGAGAAAGAGAGAAGCGATGAAAAGCGAGCGGTATCAAGAGGTGGAGCAGGAGTAACGATAGGAGAAGCCGGCGAGGGTAGCCGTTCTCTTCTCTCCTTTTCTCTCTCAAGCACGGGGGTACGCTAAGGATAAATCTCTCGTCACATTCGTATACGGAGATCTTCTTTTAATATTATACGTATCCGCCGGATTTCGATTATCGATGACGACGATACTTCAATATAATTTTTGCTTTCTTTTCTCTCACAAATATTCGCGGTTACTTGAAATAACGGTCGACGTCAGTGTCAAATCCATATAAATGAATTTTTCTGCTCCATCATTTTGCGCGATGCGCGTAAAATCCTCCACGTGTGTATTCTTTAATGAAATAAACGAATCGATATGGGAGAGCGATATCGCGCGTTGCGTCGCTTTGCATCGCGTCGGCGATAAATTCGTAACCTTGTGACTATAAACGCAGCGTGTTTTTTAACACCCACTTCATCGTCTGTGTTCGACGCGAATCACTTTTTTTTTTTATCATCGACGCGTTTAGTACAATTCAACTCGTCGGGTAGGTGCAGAAGAACTTTTTTGCGAGAGATGCTATTAGAATAAATCAAATAATTATAAACTTGAATTACTACTTGATCTGAATCAAAGTTGGATCGATAGTTATAATCGTTTTAACAGTATATTTTATGCAGTATTCACGTTACATAAAATACGCACAAATATCTATAAATATCTATTCCACTACACAACGATATTATTTTTAATTGAGTGCGATAATCGTACATTTATCCAGAAGCAAAATCACGAAATACAATACGGGCGAAACGCATTCGTATTCCTACTTTCCACTATTGCGTTTACGCGTGCGACATTTTCATTGATGACTGTATGTCCGACGTTAATTGTGCATTTCGCGCGTTAAACGCGGCTATATCCGACGCACGCAAACACGTTCGGTGTCGGGCACGATACGATAATTGCTAATGCCGCGGTGATAAAGGAATCAACGTTACAGCGGCGTATTCATTGGAACGCCCAATTATGCAATAAACCGAAACCGCGAAATGCAGTTGCCCGATTGTTGCCGGTACGCAAATTGCGAATTGCGTCCCACCGCTACGCGCAGTGCGGTTTAGCCGTTCACAGAAAGCGAGAAACGCACAGACGCACATGTTCCCGTTCGATCAGAATTTTTTCTCTTTTTTTTTTTTCTCGATTCCGCGACACCAGACTCCTCGATATTAATGTCGAGATTTACATCGATTACATCGGGCAGGAGCGAGCGCGATGATGCATCTGCAAATGCTAAGAAGATCTCGAGAACGGGAGTAGGTGAAAAGTGATCGAGGTCGACAAACTCCCCCGGGATATTCGCCGGAAGGGCAAGTTGGCTCCCGTGGGTTATGTTTGGGTGCTGTCACAGAACGTTCCGTTTTATCACGCCAGGGTCTTAGGTTGCCCTAGGTCACGATGCCACGGGAACGGAAGGATTTTCTCCCCGAGGGAGCGAGCGCGAATGTGTGTGCGTAAAGTGAAAGAGGAGGATGATACCGTGGAGGAATCCCTCGCCTCGCTTGGCGAGACGCCCAGGTTCTTCGGCGCTATCAACCTCGACCACAAACACCGATTCACGGTCACTTTTGAGGGTTCTCAGAGTTTCTCTACGTTCCAAGAGAAAGAGAGATAGAGACAACTCGGGCGATCGAACATTCGACATGAACAGCTTGTTTCAACAGCTTGTCGCGACAACGCGTTAAATGTCAAACGACTAAACATATATATCTCCTTATTTTAACTATCTCCTATATTCTACATGTGTTTCTAAATTATTATATTTTTATAAATGAAATCTAAAAGTCCCTTTATTTAGTTTATATGTAGAATTCATTCCAGTCTATCGGTACTTTTACTTTTGGGACCGCCTGTGTGATCACTCGATTGAACTCGATTCACATGGAAATTCAATAATCGAGCGTCGATTTAGGAAGCAGATTCGGCTCGTTTTAGCCATCTAAAGCGATTAAATACGAATCTACTTGTAATTTGAAGTTTGAGTGTTCGCATACGTTGTTCTTGCTTCTACAAATTTCGCTCCGTAAGATCGCGAATGTATTTGCGCGCGTCTTTCGAGGGCAATCGTTGCGAAAGCGGATGACAAAAGATCGGCCGCGGTAAACGAACCAATCGTCTTGACTCTCGCTTCTCTCGTTTTGTGTTGTACAAAGTTTTACAGTCTGGTTGCGAGGTTGCCGGCTTTTCTCTTCTTCGCCTCGCATCGCTGCGGACGGTTGGTTCCTCTCCGCCTCGGCAGCCTCGATACCGTCCTTTTTTCCCCTTCGACTCCATCTCTGTCGATTCCAGCCCCGCACGCCGAGCCTTCTCTTTCTCGCTCTATCTCGTTGACAGAGAACGCGAGACAGGGAGGCAATGCCGAAGAGAACGAACGAAAATAAACGAAAGTGAATTTGTACAGCTCCATTTTTACACGTACGGTGCGTCATTTTATTCCGGGTGATTGCTATTATTGTTATTATTTATTACATGGTAAAATATTCCACTATAAAATATTGATTCATATAAACCTTTTCAATTTTCGACGCGTTTCTTAATGACGGAAGAAATTTCGCGACTGAGTTGAAACTGAAGGAACCGACGAATGATGGAAAAGTTCTCCAGTTCTTCTTCTTTATGCGCAGTCACCCGGAGTAATGCCATTTTATGGAGATTCCGGTACCGGCTTCCGACCAGCAGCTGGTTTTGGAAACACAGTTTGGCATCAAGGAGTCGGACCAGTTGGCGCCGTCGCAGTCGAGACATCACCGGCGCCGTGGCCGCCTCAACAATTTATTCAACAGATTTCCGCCCCAAATCAACTCGAAGAATTGAGGTACCATACTCAGTATAGCGCCGCAACACCCTATCATCCTCAAGCAGGTGAGTACAAAACGAAATAAAATGCAGAGCGTAGAACGTTTGCAAAATAGCATTAAATTTTCTGAAAATCATTATATCGCAAGAGAGAAATATAAACGTATAAAGAGTTCTTTGGAACGCATAGTTTCCCATTTACTTAAACTTAATTTACCATATAAATTTTTTTCTCATTAAAGACAAGTTTTCTCTTCGTGTCACGTTACGTAAGATTGTGTGTTTGTATCAATCTATCAATTCGAACGTTGCAGTCCCATATCAGCAACAGACATTCATACCGGCGGATCAGTCTGCGTTTCAACGAGCCGGGACGACGGGACAATACACCATCACGGGACAGCCTTCACCGCTGGCTCCTGTTGGAGGACAGACAGTGGTTTCGACATCTCAGAGGCAGTTGAATGGACAATTCGTAGATCCTGCAGCTACCGCTAATCAGTCAGTTGCCTACGAAAGACAAGATTATGTAAACGGCTACCAACAACAAGTAAGAGTCGCTGATTAAATAACGGTTCCAGCTTATACATTTAATTACAAGAACGTCTTACGACCTTCTCGTATTTGTCCTCATTTTGATAGCTATTCTAAAGAATCGTGTGAAGCATTCGCAACGAACGCTACGTGGGCTTCTTGCAGGAAGTGACGATGGCACCGCCTCCGTCGACGACGCCGACAAGTCGCAGCAGTTCGGTGCACATGGATAGTCAACAACAGCAACAGGGAGGTTCACAACAGTCATCGCAGCAGCAGCAGCAAACTACCGCGGATACGCAAGTAAAAGGATTCGCCACGATTTCCGCCAGTAACGTGTCGGGAAACGAGATGCCTGGGTATCCACTTCAACCGGACCCACAGAGTTTACACAACTCTAACGGATATCCAGGCTACGTGGAAATGGGTCAACAATCAACGCAAAACCAATGGCATATGGTTTCGCAGCAGCAGCAGCAGCAGCAGCAACATCATCAACAAATGCAACGACAACAACCCACGGTTGACAATACTCAACAGCACATATGGTCAGACACGAGCGGAAAAATGAGCAGTAGTGTCAACAGTAACATAAATTGGCAAGACGGAGCGATGCAACAACAGTCGCATCACTCACAACAAAATATGCAAGGCAATATAAAGCAAGTGGAACAACAACAAACTACTCAAATGCAGGAACTACCAAGACCGGCAAGTCACATGAGCTGGGAGACTGGAAGCATAAAGGAACCCCAAACACCACAATCGTGGTCCGAGAACGCTGACAACCAGCAGCAACAAACTCAGGGAAATTGGTCGCGACAAAGTCCGAAACTAAGGGATCCACAAAACTCACGGTTGACGCCATCCAGTCAGCAGCAGCCGCCTCAACATCAGACGTGGCTACAGCACTCTCCAAAACTGTCAGATCACAACAGTGCTCAACAAAGCGCGAGGATGACGCCTTCCGTCCAACGTAATTGGCAGCAAAATAGTCCGGAAATGCAAGGATCTCAGCAGAATCCGAGACTCACGCCCTCGGGACAACAGATACAACAGCAGCAGCAGTCACAGCAGCAGCAGCATCAGCAGCAGCAGCAACAGCAGCTTCAGCAGCAGCATCAGCAGCAACAGCAGCAGCAGCAACAGCAGCAGCAGCAACAGCAGCAGCATCAACAGCAGCAGCAGCAGCATCAACAGCAGCAGCAGCAGCAGCAGCATCAACAGCAGCAGCAGCAGCAGCATCAACAGCAGCAGCAGCATCAACAGCAGCAGCAGCAGCAGCAGCAGCATCAACAGCAGCAGCAGCAGCAACAGCAGCAGCAGCAGCAGCAACAACAACAACAGCAGCAGCAGCAGCAGCAGCAGCAATGGACGCAGCAAACCAAGGTGGAACAGAATCCTAGACTCACACCGTCCAATCAAATGTCGTGGCCCGACACACCGACTAGTCAACCTAATTGGTCACCAAATAGCATAAAGAGTGATAATAGTCAACAGCCACAGCAACAGTGGCAAGACTCGCAGCCCAGTCCTAGACGAACTCCAAGTCATCAGTGGCAAAATCAACTGACGCAGGAGAACAAGCTAGACAATCGAATGTCCTGGTCACCAAACTCAGTATCGGAGAATCAACCGAGTTGGGGGCAACAGACGACAAAACAGGACATGCAAAACTCAGGAGAAAGAATCACGTGGCAACAACAACAAACAACGGTAGATACTAACAAGCCGAATGGATTTCCGGAGAATCAGGATAATCCGGAAAACAATGTATATACGCATTCTAATCGAGTAAATCTCAATAGTCGGCTAAAATCGATGATCCTGAACAAGCAACAGCAACAAATGCAGCAACAATTGCAGACTCACCAACATCATCAGATGCAATCGCAACACATTAACAGCAACAAAGGATCCGCCGGAGAATATCCTGCGGATGATCAGATATGCGACGCTCACGAGAATAGCGAAAAGATGCAAGAAAAACACACGGATCATTTTATCAATCAATCGAACATTATTTCAATGTCGCAATCTAATGAGAACTTGACCGGTAATTTTTTATCGCATAGCCACCACCCTCGGGTAGATAGTTTGCCCGATGGTGGTGGCTTATGGGAATGGACGGAAGGAGAACATAATCACGATAATAACGATAACAATAAGGATAGCGGTAATTCTGCATTACCGTCAGAAAATGGAATGACAGCACTCGAAAGCTTCATGAAGCTTGCTACGGAAAACAAGAATGATATCATTGATCGATCGCGCGACAAAGAGAAAGATCAACAATCTTGGGAGGTACAGAGGAAAGACAACGAAGATCGAGACATAGATGACAAATCTTTTCAACAAAGATTATGCATGGATCAAATCGGGAACGCGTCTTTCGAGGAGTCTCAGAAGACATCTGATAGTGACGAAATGAAAAGCGATAGTCTGGATTTCTTAAAGACGGCAAGCATAACCATTCGCACGTCTTCCCAAGATATCGACAAACGCGACTCCGATCACGTGATCAAGCAGGAGAATATCGGGGATTATAACTGTAATGGAGATACGTCCAATGTCGCCGAGAATGAAGAGAGCGGAAAGATTATTCCAGATTATAAATTCCGCGGCGATGGTGGCCCCGCAAAAGTATCACCGGAAACCGGTTCATGGTGCTGTCGAAGAGGTGGGACCAAACAACCGACTCCGGAACACCTAAAGGATGGTTGTTGCCAGGGTCTTCAAACCAAAGACGAAATGCTGGCCGATTCTCCGCAAGCAGCCGAGTTAAAAAACGAAGGACCGCATAGTCCGCGTACTCCTGCGTCTGCGGCGACCACGACGGCAAAGTTGCAAGACCACTTGGACAAACTGAAGAATAATGTCAGGACCGAAGTACCGGACTGCAACTGCTTCCCCGCCGACAAATGTGAGTTGCACAATTGCGTATTCCGCATTACACTAACATTGAGAGAACACACTAACCACGAAACCACACGAAAGAAAAGTTATAAACGTATACTAATATACATTTTATGGCCAATAACTACACCGACCGATTATGCGTCCCGAAATCCGGAGGAGAATGTGCGTACCTAACCTACCCCCTTTTCGCAAGGGCATACCTACCTCATGCGCGGCATAAATGTTTCCGCTTCTGTTGCTTCCTTTCGTTGACGCGTCGGTCGCTCGTAAGTAAAATGAGGTTCAACCACAAGGTCCGCCAGAGCCCGGTTCATACTACACTCATCTCGGGGCGGCTGCAAGCCTGCCTGATCTTCGGAACGATCTTGAACGAAGAACCGGCCTTAAGGGCGACGCGATACGATTCGAAAAGGTCATCTATACAGGCAAGGAGGGTAAAACCACACAAGGGTGTCCAATGGCCAAATGGGTAAGTCGTTCCCTCTAAACAATCTCACATAACGATTTAAGATATTAGAAAACAAAGAAATTGTATTAGCAGCTTTTTTTTTTTTTTTTTTTTACTTAAACGAAATTGTAATATTAATAATCCGCTAGATTATCCGACGATCCGGCATCGACGAAAAGATCTTAACCATCGTCAAGCATCGTCAAGGTCACAAATGTCCAACTGCCTGGATCGTTGTAGCTATGGTTGCTTGGGAGGGAGTGCCGACTCACGAAGCGGATCGGATTTACTCTCTCTTAAGTCACAAACTCAATCGATTCGGTCTTCCAACAACTAGACGATGCGGCACTAATGAACCACGGACTTGCGCGTGTCAAGGACTTGATCCTGACAATTGCGGTGCCAGCTTTTCCTTTGGCTGTTCCTGGTCGATGTATTACAACGGCTGCAAGTATGCTAGGAGCAAAACCGTCCGAAAGTTTCGACTGTCTGTACGATCGGAGGTATACTGGAAAACAATCTGAACGAATATCGAGATAGTCGATTTTAAATTATAACGAAACAATTGTTTCCAGGAACAAGAAGTCGAGGAGAGAATGCACGTCTTGGCGACACTTTTGTCGCCTTTATATCTTAGCCTCGCACCGGAAGCTTTCAATAATCAAACTCAATTCGAACGAGAGGCGAGCGAATGTCGTTTGGGATTTAAGCCAGGTCGACCCTTTTCCGGTGTTACAGCTTGCATTGATTTCTGCGCGCACTCTCATCGGGATCTACACAATATGAATAACGGATGTACCGTGGTACGTAAATTCGATATATCGAGTCTGACTTAATCTGATAGATTGACTTGCGATGCAATATTATTTCTTCAATAGTGTCAAGAAAAAAATACGAAGCTATTCATTTTACAAATATTAAAACATTTTTTATTTGTAGCATGCACATCGTTATATTTTTCAGGTAGTTAGCCTGACGAAACATCGAACACTATCAAAACCCGAAGACGAACAGTTACATGTACTACCTCTTTATATAATGGACGACACAGACGAATTCGGTTCAAAGGAAGGACAAGAAAAGAAGATTCGCTCCGGTGCTCTTGAAATTTTATCTAAGTAAGTATTTCTTAGAAGAACCTGAAATATTCTATGTAAGGATTGCATTGCGTATACAGCAGCAGCAGCAGCATCAACAGCAGCAGCAGCAGCAGCAGCATCAACAGCAGCAGCAGCAGCAGCAGCATCAACAGCAGCAGCAGCAGCAGCAGCATCAACAGCAGCAGCAGCAGCAGCAGCATCAACAGCAGCAGCAGCAGCAGCAGCATCAACAGCAGCAGCAGCATCAACAGCAGCAGCAGCAGCAGCAGCATCAACAGCAGCAGCAGCATCAACAGCAGCAGCAGCAGCAGCAGCATCAACAGCAGCAGCAGCATCAACAGCAGCAGCAGCAGCAACAGCAGCAGCAGCAGCAGCAACAACAACAACAGCAGCAGCAGCAGCAGCAGCATCAACAGCAGCAGCAGCATCAACAGCAGCAGCAGCAGCAACAGCAGCAGCAGCAGCAGCAACAACAACAACAGCAGCAGCAGCAGCAGCAGCAGCAATGGACGCAGCAAACCAAGGTGGAACAGAATCCTAGACTCACACCGTCCAATCAAATGTCGTGGCCCGACACACCGACTAGTCAACCTAATTGGTCACCAAATAGCATAAAGAGTGATAATAGTCAACAGCCACAGCAACAGTGGCAAGACTCGCAGCCCAGTCCTAGACGAACTCCAAGTCATCAGTGGCAAAATCAACTGACGCAGGAGAACAAGCTAGACAATCGAATGTCCTGGTCACCAAACTCAGTATCGGAGAATCAACCGAGTTGGGGGCAACAGACGACAAAACAGGACATGCAAAACTCAGGAGAAAGAATCACGTGGCAACAACAACAAACAACGGTAGATACTAACAAGCCGAATGGATTTCCGGAGAATCAGGATAATCCGGAAAACAATGTATATACGCATTCTAATCGAGTAAATCTCAATAGTCGGCTAAAATCGATGATCCTGAACAAGCAACAGCAACAAATGCAGCAACAATTGCAGACTCACCAACATCATCAGATGCAATCGCAACACATTAACAGCAACAAAGGATCCGCCGGAGAATATCCTGCGGATGATCAGATATGCGACGCTCACGAGAATAGCGAAAAGATGCAAGAAAAACACACGGATCATTTTATCAATCAATCGAACATTATTTCAATGTCGCAATCTAATGAGAACTTGACCGGTAATTTTTTATCGCATAGCCACCACCCTCGGGTAGATAGTTTGCCCGATGGTGGTGGCTTATGGGAATGGACGGAAGGAGAACATAATCACGATAATAACGATAACAATAAGGATAGCGGTAATTCTGCATTACCGTCAGAAAATGGAATGACAGCACTCGAAAGCTTCATGAAGCTTGCTACGGAAAACAAGAATGATATCATTGATCGATCGCGCGACAAAGAGAAAGATCAACAATCTTGGGAGGTACAGAGGAAAGACAACGAAGATCGAGACATAGATGACAAATCTTTTCAACAAAGATTATGCATGGATCAAATCGGGAACGCGTCTTTCGAGGAGTCTCAGAAGACATCTGATAGTGACGAAATGAAAAGCGATAGTCTGGATTTCTTAAAGACGGCAAGCATAACCATTCGCACGTCTTCCCAAGATATCGACAAACGCGACTCCGATCACGTGATCAAGCAGGAGAATATCGGGGATTATAACTGTAATGGAGATACGTCCAATGTCGCCGAGAATGAAGAGAGCGGAAAGATTATTCCAGATTATAAATTCCGCGGCGATGGTGGCCCCGCAAAAGTATCACCGGAAACCGGTTCATGGTGCTGTCGAAGAGGTGGGACCAAACAACCGACTCCGGAACACCTAAAGGATGGTTGTTGCCAGGGTCTTCAAACCAAAGACGAAATGCTGGCCGATTCTCCGCAAGCAGCCGAGTTAAAAAACGAAGGACCGCATAGTCCGCGTACTCCTGCGTCTGCGGCGACCACGACGGCAAAGTTGCAAGACCACTTGGACAAACTGAAGAATAATGTCAGGACCGAAGTACCGGACTGCAACTGCTTCCCCGCCGACAAATGTGAGTTGCACAATTGCGTATTCCGCATTACACTAACATTGAGAGAACACACTAACCACGAAACCACACGAAAGAAAAGTTATAAACGTATACTAATATACATTTTATGGCCAATAACTACACCGACCGATTATGCGTCCCGAAATCCGGAGGAGAATGTGCGTACCTAACCTACCCCCTTTTCGCAAGGGCATACCTACCTCATGCGCGGCATAAATGTTTCCGCTTCTGTTGCTTCCTTTCGTTGACGCGTCGGTCGCTCGTAAGTAAAATGAGGTTCAACCACAAGGTCCGCCAGAGCCCGGTTCATACTACACTCATCTCGGGGCGGCTGCAAGCCTGCCTGATCTTCGGAACGATCTTGAACGAAGAACCGGCCTTAAGGGCGACGCGATACGATTCGAAAAGGTCATCTATACAGGCAAGGAGGGTAAAACCACACAAGGGTGTCCAATGGCCAAATGGGTAAGTCGTTCCCTCTAAACAATCTCACATAACGATTTAAGATATTAGAAAACAAAGAAATTGTATTAGCAGCTTCTTTTTTTTTTTTTTTTACTTAAACGAAATTGTAATATTAATAATCCGCTAGATTATCCGACGATCCGGCATCGACGAAAAGATCTTAACCATCGTCAAGCATCGTCAAGGTCACAAATGTCCAACTGCCTGGATCGTTGTAGCTATGGTTGCTTGGGAGGGAGTGCCGACTCACGAAGCGGATCGGATTTACTCTCTCTTAAGTCACAAACTCAATCGATTCGGTCTTCCAACAACTAGACGATGCGGCACTAATGAACCACGGACTTGCGCGTGTCAAGGACTTGATCCTGACAATTGCGGTGCCAGCTTTTCCTTTGGCTGTTCCTGGTCGATGTATTACAACGGCTGCAAGTATGCTAGGAGCAAAACCGTCCGAAAGTTTCGACTGTCTGTACGATCGGAGGTATACTGGAAAACAATCTGAACGAATATCGAGATAGTCGATTTTAAATTATAACGAAACAATTGTTTCCAGGAACAAGAAGTCGAGGAGAGAATGCACGTCTTGGCGACACTTTTGTCGCCTTTATATCTTAGCCTCGCACCGGAAGCTTTCAATAATCAAACTCAATTCGAACGAGAGGCGAGCGAATGTCGTTTGGGATTTAAGCCAGGTCGACCCTTTTCCGGTGTTACAGCTTGCATTGATTTCTGCGCGCACTCTCATCGGGATCTACACAATATGAATAACGGATGTACCGTGGTACGTAAATTCGATATATCGAGTCTGACTTAATCTGATAGATTGACTTGCGATGCAATATTATTTCTTCAATAGTGTCAAGAAAAAAATACGAAGCTATTCATTTTACAAATATTAAAACATTTTTTATTTGTAGCATGCACATCGTTATATTTTTCAGGTAGTTAGCCTGACGAAACATCGAACACTATCAAAACCCGAAGACGAACAGTTACATGTACTACCTCTTTATATAATGGACGACACAGACGAATTCGGTTCAAAGGAAGGACAAGAAAAGAAGATTCGCTCCGGTGCTCTTGAAATTTTATCTAAGTAAGTATTTCTTAGAAGAACCTGAAATATTCTATGTAAGGATTGCATTGCGTATAATTATAATTTACATATAACATTTAATACATATATAAATGCTTTACAATCATGTCTTTTGTTTAGGTATCCATGCGAGGTTCGAGTTAGATCGGTTCCACTCCAGCCCTGCAGACGTCATGGTAAGAAAAGGAAAGAAGACGAATCTGATATTTCGAACGGTAAAAAGGATACAGCCAAGACATTCCCAGAAAAGATGGTGGATGTTGGACGTTCGCCGGGGCACGCGGACTCTTCTAAACCACAACTGAGAGAGTCGCAATTATCGCTGGAGATGACGCCAATGTTTGAAGGAATTGACGCGCAATTGCAAAGTTCTCAGGTATCATCCACGGTCTTAGATAGTCCGGTATCCATGTATCAAGGTTGGGGATCGTATCAGAGTGAACAACAAGGATGGAATCGAAATGGCTGGCTTGAACAGCGAAAAAGCAACTGGTTGAATCCATGGGGAGAGTATCCTTCGTTTAGCGGTCTAGAAAGGGACATCAAAGTAGACCCAGATAGTACTAGTTTGGATCCAGATATCAGACCTAGAAGTACCGTTTCACAAGAAGAGCACAGACCGAACTCAAGAAATCTAGCTAACTCTACAGTGGATTCAGCCAGAGGATGTTATGGAAATTCAACTAGAACTCATCCCATTTCGCCTCGTTCCTACGCGAATGTATCCGGAGAAACGTCTTATGGCGTGTCATCGAGAGGCTATGCCTCGATGCTTCACGATCCGAAGATGATTTCGTCGAAAGGACTGGAACATTCAAATATGGAAAATAATTATAATCATCATATGATACCTGGAAATTATCCCGCTTCTGACAATAGACAAAATGACTGTTCTTCGAGAATCGGTTCTCTCAATTCATCGTTCGATGTGGAAGCCACACGAAACACTCCATCCAAGATGAATCCGTCGCCAACTATTCATCATGTTCGCAACACGGGACAGGATTACATCGCCAATCAGTTAAGATTATCATCTCCTAGATACCCGGGAGATTCTAGTCAGCAGAAATATTCAAACACCATGACGCAAAATTATATAGACGCTGAAAATTCCGCGAAATTGCTGAGGCCACAGATCGAGCAAACATTCGTAAATAGAATGCAACAACCTTATCCATCGCAACAGATACAATCATCCATAAATTCCGGCTATCCAAATCAATATGGTGACGGTAATACGGCAAATTTATTCTCTTGTATAGACAATAGTAATCATAAGACAATGGAAACTCCAAGCACAGACATTGTGATGCACAGTTCTTTGCATTTGCCAGCATTTGAACAGCGAAATGATGCGCAATGCTCATTGATGCCGAATGATCAACGAAAACCTATTTATCATGCGCAAAGACAATCGGAATTAAAGCCCTTCGTGGTCAATCATCCTGTATCCCCGTCCTCCGATCAAGTTGCTTGTCCGCGTAATTGGAATACGACAAACTCATGGGGTCCTAATCAAGTTAAGAATCCACAGCAATCTAATGACCAGCAGATAGGTGATAGAAAAATCTGGGCCAATAAACTAACAAGGACGGACCAAACCAAGACTACTTCCTGGGAAACGCCATCTGAACCGTCGCCATTCCGAGTGCCAAGAGGAAGACCACCCTCGCGAACGATATCCAATCAGAATCCACCTGCGGAGCCCAATACGTATCCAAATCCTTTGACCAGAACATTTTTAAAACCATCGGAATCAAAGCCTATATTTGCAAATGCTCTAAGTAGCAGCTCGGTTCAAAATGGATGCATATCCAATCAAGTAAAGAATAATTATCCAGAAGATAAAATGCGAGAAGGATTCTATGACGGTAGGCAGGAAATGCCCAATTCCAACTCGAATTCTCTGGCTTGGGCTGAGGAGATGAAACAAGTACAAGATTTTCATGCCATGTCCGGTTTAAGTCACCATGCGTTTCCTCAATATGGATATCCGACCTATCCGGCATTCGAGAAACCTTACGTAAACTCGTGGGACGGTTACAATTATAATCATCATCAGTCGTATCAAACTCCGGAATATTCTCAGCAATTTTACCAGCAACCAAAGCGCGAAGGCTGCTTTCACTCGTCTCAATATCCGTACCAGGGTCTGAATCCAACATACCAAGGTTTGAATTCCGGTTGGACGAGGTGGGACGCACCGCGGTGGGATATCTACGGACCGCCACCCTACTTCCCGGTGTTACCGGAGCCTCCGCCAAAAGCGGAGCCACTTGGCGAAGTAGCGGATTATTCTGAAAACGAGGAATGCTTCAAAGATCCGCAAATGGGTGGTGTCGCGATCGCTTTAGGCCACGGCAGCGTACTCTTTGAGTGCGCGAAGCACGAGATGCACGCCACCACCGCCTTAAAAAAGCCCAATCGCCTCAATCCAACCAGAATTAGCTTGGTATTTTATCAGCATCGCAATCTAAACAGACCCAGGCACGGTTGGGACGAGTGGGAGGAGAAAATGCGACTGCGAAAATTGGGCGTCACGACATCGACCATCAATAGTATGTCCTCGTCGACGACCAATTCATCAACTTCAACTACCGTAACGAGTCCCGGCGGTTCGATAAGTGGGAAAACGACGCCACTTCCATCGCTGTCGCACATTCCAAATGTTCCCAGCTCACAGTTTATGATGAGATCACCCACATATACTACGATGACTTGGAGCTCTTCCCGATGCACCCGTGCATGATAACTGGCCCATATCAGGAAGGCGGTGCGATTGGATGAGTCGAGGTCGGACGGTACAACTTCGATCGTTGATGATCGAAGCTTGTATCGAGAAATGCCAGAAATCTAATCTAACAAGAGGATCTAAGATACAAGATCCTGACGACGAGAATCGCGACGTCTCCGATCGAGGATGAGCGACGAGGCGGCGACTTTACCACGAGAGGCTTTATATTGTTATTATCGTTATAGTTAGTTATTCCGAAAAAAAACGAGAAACACAAATTGCACTGCCATTTTTCTATTTCGGGTTTTACGCAGGATTTAAACATAGCGACAAAAACGTGCTCGAATAAAGCCTCGCCGGGTGTGATATCACCCTTTATCGGGGCTCGCATTTTATATTGACTTTTTACTGAGCTGAACTCGACAAAGGCTCTCGCAGTCGAGCCGGAGGCTGCAAAATTGAGATGACAATGATAATGACCGAGGCTATTGACGTATCAGAAAAGCTCCGATGAAAGGCTACGCCTTGCGAAGACTTTGATACGATAGATTTTCGTATTCTGATCCTGTACACTTTAAGTAATATCGCTTACATATAACGATTTCGTGTTGGTAGAATTGTAATCTTATTAGCTAGTCGAAGTCTAGATGATGAATCACGCGATATCACACGTATACACAGAGCACACATTAAGCGTACTGCACACTCCAAACACTCAAAAAAAACTTGCACGATATAATCTCAGAATTATCGCACTTTCGAGAAACTTCGTAGAAGACAAAAAAGAAAATAAAGATAGCATCGTATAAGAAATATCAATTATTTGAATTAAATATACAATAGAAAGCGGGTAAGATATCTTAATTAGGCAAATATTATAACATAATGATATATCTTTTTTATAATATCTCTTATTATATATAATATCATTTATAAATAATATATATTGTGAAATGCTCTCAAGTTTTAATATCCGATGATTTTAAATTTCTTTTCAGAGTTTGTCGAAGTGAAAAAGGGAGGGCGATAATTCCGGGAACATCTCTTTTTATATTCGTTAATTGAACGATTCTTTGCGAAAGTCCAAGCACAATCCTAAATATCCAAACGAGGACACGACGACAATGATCTCAAGTCTTTAAATTAATTAAATGATATGTAATGTATATCTGATTTCTAGCCTTTGTACATTTCGCTTCTTATTCTCGTATTTATTTACGTGTTTGTACTCGTAGCTAAGTACTAAGTACGATTAATTCAAGTGGCAAGCGATATAATACTAACCATGCGCCCTTCGGGTCGGCTGAGTACAAAGCATTTATCTAACAATCACGTGACGCGTAGAGTAGGGGTGGTGTATCTATCGGTCCGCGATATACGTTGGACACGCCAAGTGTTGTCTCCATCATCGATTTAACGTTCTTCCCTTACGTGTGTTTGTTTCACTTCATTTAACCCTTTTTACTCAAACCAAAAAATATTCGGCATAATTTATTAAAAATTCGACAAATATATCAAAATAATTGTGTACGAACCAGTTGTAGGGTAGGGTTTAAAGGGTTAATTATTTTCCAATATGAGCGATGACATTTGCATTTGACATCTTGTCGAAATAAAAGGGATAGATAAGAATGGTCGATAAATAATTGGTGCGACAAAAGGAATTTGATCAATTCTCTCTGAGATTCGACGCGTGGTCGTATTATTGAATTAGTAGATATGGAAAAATTCGATCTGTGACTTTATCATTATCTTCTTATTATACTCGATTTTATTTGTATATATTAATCGTCTTTTAGTCTGCGCCTGTTGCAAGCGGCACGAAGCCAGGCAACAGAGTTCTGCTGATGACCTTTGATATCGAGGGCCAACCTCTGGCGGTGTATCGATTGGCTTCTTGATGGATTATAGATACCCACTGTCATCGTGGAAAGCCTTTTAAAGGATTTCAATACGGTAGATCGATGTTTCTTGACACAATGGCAGCGGATCAAAACCAACTTTTTTGTGCATATTGGATTTTCTGTTGTGTGTAGAGAAGTATTAGATCTTAAAACAGCGGATTTGTCGATGAGAAATGTAACGTTAGCGCTTTTGGTACGTCTAGGCTGTCACTTGTGACTTTCCAAATCTCCAAAATCGGAGGCGAAAGCCAAAAGTGTTGTGTTCTCCTTCATCCCGTTACGCTCCTATCAAATTATCGAGCACATTCCATATTTCCGTTAAGAGAGCTCAGTAATATCTTGACGGTGGTTCGCACCTTCCATGTTCTTGAGTCACGCTTTCCATATTCTCACGCTGTCTTTTGAAGTATATGCTATTTCCAAAGGAGTGACGGGTAGGAGGGTTCACTACGTTCTCCAAAAAAAGAATGTCGCGGCCTTTCTCTCAAGTTCCTCGGCCTTCCTCAGGGAAGATTGAGGAGCGCAGAGAAAGCGTCGTTTTATCGAAAGCATAAAATGTCGCATGAAAGTAATTTAAAAAGTGCTCTCTTCGGTGACACTGGACGGCAAGAATGCAAATAGAATTGATTCTGGAATGCCAAGAATCAAAAAGGAAGACGGTAAAGCTTCTCGCGATCAGCAGGATGGTAAATAGGTATATAAATATCGCGAAAGACTGACCAGAGGAAGGTATCCAAGACGTGGAAGAGAACGCAGAATCGGTAATCGAAAAGTTCTACTTATTTATTTATTTTCGCTATGACGTTATATTTCAACGACTATCTTCGACTTTTTCAAATAAGCGTAGCACTTTACAGCGCAAAAATTTGTATTTTAGCTGATAATGGGGAGTGAATTATGACGGGTTTTTGATTTTGGCTCGCGTACCAGTCGAGTCCTATCTTTCCTTTTTGCATTTGTGTCCGCAAATCGGTGGAATGAAAAAAAGAAAGAAGCGAGACGCGACAAACCCTCGCCTACTGGAGTATTATAGGAATCATTAATATATTATCATTCATTAGTTATCGCATGTAATAGTAATAGTAATAGTAATAATAATAATATCGGCAACACAGTAATAACTAGTAATATAATCTAATTTAATGTATTATTTATTAATTAAGTTTGATAACGTGGTGTTGTATCGTTATTCTATTTTTTCAGCAAGCTGGCGGCTCGAGTTTCGATTGAGATTATCTGACTTTCCTGTGCGCACCGGTTGATCGATATTTCCTTAATGTGAAAATATTTCAATGTGCTACATTGACTTTTTGCTCCTAAATGAACAGCTTTAGACATACACTAACGAATTTCAATCGGAAAGTATTACTCGAACATTCTTTTTCTCCTATTTTATATATTTATCGTATAAATTCCAGCTCTTGAATATTCTAAGCAGGATTCGTGGTAAAATTTATTCAAGCTTTCTAAAAAGAATTAGAAGAATTTTAGGATGTGTATGCTGAGTATATATTTATATTTTAAAGATTTATAAAAAGAATTTTTTTAAATCGGTCCCGGAAAACGCGCATGGAAATGTCGCGATACATTTCATATCGAAAATTCACATACACATATACTAATTCTCCAATCTATTCCAAAAAAGTATCTCCGTTCTATAAAAGCTATAAGTTCGGTACTATTTCTTCACGTGATAGAAATGCGTACGAGTACGGCAAATGGGACTATTTCAAACGCAACACTCGTTTCTTTCGCTTCACACGCATACACGCGCGTACATCCGGTACGCATGCGAGATCACTGATACATTTTCTAGATAAGGCAGCTTTTTCGGATGGCAATGAGAGTACAATGTAGAATATCATCGGGGCCCGAGATGGCTTTTTTAACATATACAACAAGATTATCCTCCTCTTCGTATCGTTCCGCAAAAATGACAATACAATGACAAACGCGATATCTTTGTATCGAGTTTTGATTAAGTCTTGGAGCGCGCGTTTTTTCCATAATTCTCGGATCTAATGGGTGTCACAAATTCTCGTCTATTGTAATAATCTTTTATGTGGTATTGATTATAACTCAGAAATATATATTTTTTAATCTTCTCTCCCCTCTCGTAACGAAGAATGAATTATGATTAAATTTGACTTTGTAGTGTAATTTATAAATCGGTTAACATTTTGAAAATATGACGAAGAAGAAGCATGAGCTTTTGCGACACCTGTTATATTCCACGTGCGAAGGAAATCAAAATTCCATATCATCTTCCGGAATAAACTTAGCCTTATAACGCACCTTAAATGCCATTATATAACTACTACTTCCAACTGTCTATAAATATATTGAAGATCGTTGTTCTTGCTAAAAAGTTTTTTATAAAAGGGAAAACTCGAAATACACGATGCCAAGAGCGTTTGTAAAATAACACAATTGATATACAAGAATAAAAATAACAAACCATCGCGTGTGTCCGAAATATAGATTGATATGCAACGATAGTTCATCCCATAGTTATTTTATTTCTTTGTTATATACAGGCACAAATTTATCAAATTAAGCAATTGCGCAATTTGTGTGTGAATATATTTCTTAGATAAAATTTTTATAAAAATTATATTTAATGAATTGACACAAGGGGCGATTGCGCGATTTTTCGGGCGGACGAGTCGTTGCATAGATCCCTGTATAAGGAGGAAAAAATCTGAAATCTGATTAACAGAGATTAATTAATTAGCGAAAAAGGGGGGTTACGATTGAAGATAGAACGACGGTGAATTAAGAAAGAAATAAACGTTGAAGAGTGTATTTTTTCTTCCAATGCCAAAAAGATGCCATTTTGTTTTATACAAAAAACTTTATGAGAAAACCCAGAAAAAAAGTAAATAAACGGGCGAGTGAAAAAGAACGGACGAAAGAGAGAGAGAGAGAGAGAGAAAGAGAAGTGCGAAAACAAATTTTTTAAATAGTTTGTAGTAAGCGTATGGATGTGTAACAATAAAAAAAACAACAAACAAAAAAGCAAAACGAAACAAGTCGATGTATATGTTCCGCGAAATCGATTTTACACGCCTTATTATCGTAAACGATTAATGGGTCAAAGTCAGCGAAACACTGCATCGCCATAATTTAAGCGCAATATCTTAATTGCAAGCAGCGAAATGGGCAAAATGCAAAGTAGCGCTTTTCATCAAATATTACAAGGATCTAAAGACCACTTACACTAACATCGGTTAACGTTAAATCTTAATCAACCAAATTTTATTTTACTCTTTTTGTACAAGTATTACTGTATCGTTTAGGGAAAGAAACAGCGATCCACACAAATACACACACATACCAGTTAATTTTGTTAAGCCGATTTGTGATGTAACTCAGCCCGAATCCACGGATGTATGTTGTAAAGATACAGCGTTACATATACACCGACTACATATGTGTATATATATTTTTGGACAAAGCCATGAAAAAATTTTAAATCGAAATTCGGGCGGGGACGCGCGAGAACGTGATCATCTCTCGGCGAATTCGTAATTTTATGCGAGATTAGCGAGATACGTTCTTCCTGTGAGCGAAATAGGGCGAGAGAGAGAGAGAGAGAGAGAGAGAGAGAGAGAGAAAGGAAGAGAGAATGAGAGAGTGAAAGAGAGCAAAAAAAAGAAAAATAGTCGAGAGAGCTTTCACGCACGTCGCTCCCCAATGTATTTATGAATATTTATTTACGCGAAGAGTGGAAAAAAATTAATATATTGACGATTTTAAAGAAATGATTGTAAGTTATAAGCGTAAGTTTTCTAAGAGCCATAACTCTTGTAAAGCATTTTTGTGTGCGGTAGTCGCGACACGAATCGAAGCAAAATGAGAATGAGAGACAGCGAAAGCAATGGAATAAAAGACTCACTTTGGGCGAAAAATAAATGAGAACGTTTCAGATTAATAATAAATTTCGTTCAGGATGCACAGAGCGTCCACTTAAGATTGAAGTATGCTTAAAATACGATAGTGAGTATATGATATGTATAAGTAATAAAATAAATGATTTTAGCTATCGATGACTATTATCAACATAAGAATACATTTAGACAAAGATATGTGGTAAGACAGATGTAATTGTCCTTTGTGAATATACATAAGAGAGAAATGAAAAATACAAAAAACTTTTATGAGTACAACCGTTTTCATTTTTATTCGTGTAATAAATTCCTATAAGAAATCGTAACCCATGGTAATGTATAATAATGTATAGTGTATACAAGACACTGTACAATGCATTTCCTACAAAAATATTGTGTATAGCCGAGTATAAGAAGTAACAAACAAATACCTGTCCTTTTTTTAAATGCTCTGTACAATATGCTTATTTAGCAATAAACTCACTTTTTCTTTGATTCAACAAATAATAGAGATGACTGTTCTGGCTGCGAAACATTCATTCTTTTTTTAATTCGAAAATTATGTGTCTAATAGCTGGCATCCAGGTACGACAAGCAGTCGCATGCTGTGTCATAAGAGCAATATGGATCTTGTCAGCTTCTTCAGTATCTTTCCTCAACAATGCTGAAAATATAAATTATTTGTTACAAAAATATTGATATATGGATGCAAAGATTTTATCAATACCTTTCGATATATCTAAAACACTTCTGTGTATCGTATTGTTTAATTTATTTTCGCGCCAGTCAGCTTTCATGATATCTAATCTTCTTTGTATCTCTTCTGTCTTGTTCGTTTCTATCTTCTGCTCTGTCATTACTGATTTTAGATTGGCCAAAACTTCTGTCAAAGCTTGATCTTTGTCAAAATCTGATTCCTTTGTTGTAAATTCTTTAGCGATAGGTGCCACAAGAGGCTTATGGGGAGCTGTAGTTATTGTAGGAGTCATGGAAGATTGTAAAATGGGAGGAGTATTCGATGGAGGAGATGAATCAACTTTTCCTGCAGCGGAGATCTGCGAAGATAATGGAAATGCCACTCGCTTGTTTAAGAGTCTCTTGGTTCCAGATGAATTATGCTGTGAAGACAGTGCCCATTTTGGTGGATCGTTCCAACCGGGATCGTGAGAAGATGGCAGTGATTGTTGGCTGGACACTGTATCATTTGACGAGAATGAGGGAGAATTTTGCTCCATTTTTAGGTTAGATTTGACAACTGGTAAATGCAAAGTCAATTAATTTAAACGAAGAATCAAATGCAGATCAGTTTCAAAGATCCATAATATATATGATTAAATAATATATTCTTAGACAGATTCTTCGCTATTAATCGTCCCTGGCCACCGAAACCAAAATCGTCAAATTTTCATTTGGATCTAATGGGGCAATTTATACATAGCTCTCTTCATTGAGCGACAATCTTATTTTATATATCGATCGAAATACGTATTCTATTATACGTAACGTTTTCCATCGTAATATATATACGTAACATGTTCCATCGCATCACAATGCGCTTCACGCGCGCATATTTCCAGTTGTTATTTAAGTGATAAAACGTATGTATATACGAAGATCACGTTCAGTGAACGTGACAGTTTCAAAACAGATCTGACATATATCTATACAAATATAGAAGTATACATCAATCACAAGTAGAATCACGTCCTCGTATTATTTATTCTTCTCTTTCTATTTTCATATTATATATCTCTCTGTCTCACACTTGTCTTCCCCACTGCGCACATTTCGTGATCACGTGATTATGTGTAGAGTGAGAGACATGTCTTTCTCATTTCACTTGCTGTCCTTTCAAACAACTTATCATATGGTCGCGCGAATAAGAATGGGGGAGCAATGCAAGAGGAGAGAAATTATAAAAGAAATGATAAAAAGAAAAGCAAAAAATAAACATACAATTCGACTGTAATATAATTACTTAGGCTAGGTTCCAAAATGGTGTAAAATTTCGTCTCCAAGGAAAATTTTACTCGCTGGCCTGGAACCGCTCAAAAAAATTACGAAACGACCATCCAGTAAAATTTTCCTTGGAAAATATGTTTTGAAACGTAGCTTGAGAGACCCTCCTCCTTGTGTCTCTATAATTATGCTAAAGGATTTCGTAATTGTTGCATTCATAAATGAACTCGAAGCGTTTCCTCGCTCTTGACTTTTAATGATATGCCTAATGGCTCTGTACATAAAACGTAACAATGCATTCCATATGGCAAGAAGCGATACGATAACCAATCATCATATGCCACTGAAACTATTATTTTCGGGAAAAAACGGGAAGTTCCCTTTCTATTTTTGTAACAGAGTAATTTATAAGCCACGCATTTATAAACTATGCATTGAAAATTAGAAAAAAAAATTTGAACAAAAGGAGCTAAAATTTCTTTGTCATGATTGGATAAATTTCAATCATCATTCTCATTCTTCAATGCATAGTCTGATATATAAGCTTAATGCCGTTGGCATTAATAAGCCGGCATCCGAGGATGATTTGCAAGTTCCAGATCTAATTAATGACTATTTTAAAACTCGTACGAGAAATTTCGTCGAAATTTTTGAATAAGATATAAATATCTGTGCAATGATTCGATGATTTATTCCTAGTTTGATATTTCGAAAATCCATGAAACCCACGTTAATCATTCGTACAAATATATTATTTTCAAAGTACGCGAATCTATATGTATGGGATCGTTTGAGGTCATTATTGAATATTCATGATACATACATTAGATCGAAGTCGAGACTTCAAGACGGAAAATGTTTAGTTAATTACATTTTGTGCGCTGATGCATTTGCTTCTAAACTCACTAACAAATCTCTATATTTTACTTAGATATTCACATAATATATACCGTATAAGATTCTTATTCATAAACATTATTTATATAATTTATATAAAATTGTGACCTCTTTTTTTTACGTAACTTTGATCTTTGGATCTCTGTATATGACAGAGAATCATTGCTGTGTGAACTGGTTGGCAATCAATCGGTGTCTACGAAAATAAATGGATATTAATAAAACAACAATACCTTGCACGGAATCTGTAAACGTGGTGAGTTTTTATACAAGTAATCATAATCCACTATAATACTTCCGTGGCCACGGATCACGTGAGTACAGTTCATCATCTATTAATACTCGATTTGCCGAATTTTGAAATAAAACAATGCCAAATTATAGTCATTACAGTAAAAATACATAACAGTCATTTAAATTATCCATTAAGAGCTGGCAATTAATTTTCCATTAAGAACTGGCAATTAAATTTCCATTAAGAACTGGCAATTAATTTTTTACTGTAACATAACTTTGAAATATCGAAGTTTGATGCTATCAAACGTTGATATAGTATTGATATAGCACTTTCTTTGCGTCTTAATTACCGATTCGAAGAACTCCAACTTGTCTAATATTAAGACTTTATAACAGCGTTAAGGCCATCTTATTTAGCGAACACATCATATTTTCAAATATCCCTTACAAGATTGTAAATGATTCGTATTATGTAATTCGTATAAACGGCGTCTTTACGTAATACTTGCCTAAGGATTTGTGTGTGTTATTTCGGTAACGTTCAAATATTTCGGTATACTTATTAACGAAATGTTAAATTTGACCTTAAAAGCATGCAATTTCCGGTTGCGATAGTGATCACAAATAGGTCAACTGAACATGACTCCACGTATCAGTGTATCACTCATCTCTCACGAATGAATAAAATATACCAAGTTCTTCAGATGACTTTCAAATATTGCAACATAAATTTACATCCTAAATTATGCATTGAAATTATTGTAAGAACGGAAGTTGAAGAAGTTCCTTGAATAACGAAATAATCACATTCAAGCGATCATTATTTTGATTGTTTCCAACCACTTCCACCTTAATATGTATAAATATACTTAATCTCTTGAATAATATAACTGACTTACACATGTCAAATTCAATTTAAAAAAATTATTATTTCGATATTAAAAATAACATCGACGTATATTGGTATATTATTCTTATAGGATGCGCGATGTTGTTGTAATTTTCAGAAAATTGTCGGTATAATGAAGAATAAGCAAGTTTTATGCATAACATAATACGACATAAGATGTAAATATGAATGCTAATTTATCCCTGTCACATAAATTACATATAACGAGAATGATACGTGGTACTTAAGGAAAGAGTCAGACATATCATTTTAGATCTTGTAAGCAATTTTTTTGCATAATAAAAACCTGTCTGATAATAATAAGACTGTTATAGACTATTATCATCCATATGATTTCATATTATGACTGAGAGAGAAGGCACCGAATATAGTATGAGCATATATTAAAAGCCACATACGCGTAACTTGTACTTTCGACAAGGAAGTGAAATGGCATGAGATGAAGAGACTGACTCTCTCTCTTTTTCTCTTTTTTTCTCTCTCTCTCTCTCTCTTTCCCGATTTTCCACTTTCCAGATCGTTAACCGCGGATGGTAAGATACGCGAATACGTATCGAGTATGCACGCAAAATTAATAGCAACTCTACGAAAATATGTAAAACAGCAATTGCACGTGTCATTGATCACGATCTATATAAACGCTGATAATTGTAAGATGATTAAATGGTTTTTAACGTACCAACGCAAGCTAATTACTATCATTGTTTCTAGAATCTGTAATTAACACGAATGTATATTTAATATATATTTAGTGTGTATATATTTAATATATACACTTCTACTTCTTCTTCTTTTCTCTCTCTCTCTCTCTCGTATTTTATTGGCTATTTAATATATAATAATTAATATACAATTAATATACAATTAATATACAATTTAATATACAATATCTAATGTATATTGAAGGAGCGAGTTTGCGCGTGCGAGAGATATGAAAAAAAAAATCTCTAAAAAAATATATTTGTTAATGCGTTATTAATATTTACAATATTTTGTCTCTAGGATGAAGTGGCACTAGACATTCCGACGGATTCCGAGGAATACGAAGAACATGAGGAACACTCTGATGTTTGCCGCATCAATATACAAGAAATTGTTTTGAATGTTTCCGAACTATGTAAGTAATTCTTTTATAATTTACTTTTATAATTAGACTATAATCTTAGTTAGATTATAAGAATAAGATGAAGATATATTAATAAAATTGAATAATATTAATGGAAAAATAAAGGTCATTGTTTCTTCAGCCTTTTCAAACACTTGATGCGAATAAACTGTCGTAATTTCTAACATTTGCATAATGCAATAATTAAATTTTTGAAGAAATTTCCTTTGTAAGCAAAGACCAGCTTGACATATAAAAATCTATTGGACACTTGTTCTTTGCCTTGAAACGATAAAAATAGATATGACAAAGTGATAATAAATTTACAACTATATAACCAGGAAATGACATATGTAGCAATAAATGCAAGACGAACCTGTAATTTACTAGTTAGCTAACAATATGTCACGTATATATTATTTACCGCTTGACACATTTCGTTCTAATCGATGCATGTTAACACGTTAACATTGAATTTTAAGATAGAATAATCATTTTGCACAATTGTCAAATTTTGAACAAGTATAAGATAATCGTTTGATTCTTAAAAAAAAAAAAAAAAAAGATAATCCGAAAAATTAAATTTTTGGAAATTTTCAAAACTTAAATTTAAAAAATTGCGAAATCCAAAGAAAGAGAAGGAAAGAGAAAAAGAGAATTTACAATTTGAAATTTCATGCTAATGCGAATCTTAAATTCAGTATTGAACAATTAAATCAAATAATTAGACGTATACAGTAATTTATATTATAACTCACTGTAATTCACACTGATTCTAAATGTATATGTATCCTTGTTTTTTTTTTTCAAGGTTCATATAGCTATAAATTAAAGATGAAAATTTTAAGAGGTACTGTTTTATATTCCGGACTATATAGTCCCCACCACACACCGTCCTCGAGCCTTTCGTATCGTTAACCCACCTTAGAGTCAGTCTCGAATCTGACAACCTCGAAAGAACACTCGTGATTTTCGACATTGAGTATCCATACGACAGATTAGCAACAAAAGATGCGAGATAAATATTTCATCACAAAACGCTAAACATCTTTCCTTAAAAAAAAATTTATCTCTTTTTTTTTTTTATTATCGGTCAAAGAAAAAATTCCATGAAATAAATACGGCTATTAAATTATTTAAAAATTAATATACAATCGCAATAACGAAAAGTTGTTAGAATTAATAAGATATTGTTTAGAATTTACGTGCACTCGCTATAACGAAATATTCTAATTAGAGGTATCTTTCTGTGAAATGTCGAACGATACTGTGAATAAGATCAAAGAAGACTGTGTAAAAATACAGGTGCAGCCAGCGCGGAATCATCACAAGGGTATGCCTTTTCATATTTGAAAATGAAATTTTATTTTAGCTATTATCCAGCAAATATATTCTCACAGATCACATTTTTAGAAAGTATGTTTTAATATCTTCAAATTGCTTCTTGGATTTTTTTTTGTGGATTGTGTGTTGAAAAATGCGCAAAAATAAACTCGATAACGCAAAAAGATTATATAAAATTTGCAAAAATATAATAAAATGGAGTTGTAGAATAGTTAACACGCTTTTTTTATTTATTTTTTTCTTATTTATTTTTTCAATATATATGAACTTATTATAAAAAGAGAAGTTTACCTTAATATCTAAATATATTTATTACTTTGAAATTTTGATGTGATCAAGATTTTCAAAAATTAAGTGTCAGAAGAGAGTGATTAAATAAAAAAAAATTTATTCATTTAATTTTAAATGTGTGAGTTAGCATATTTTTAATTCAATGTTTTAATTTGGCACTCAATTATTTAAATCTCGAATGTTTCCTCGAGAATATTTAACATATTTCTTATATAAATATAAAGCGAAATTAAAATAATCTTTTGTTAAGAGTTTGTTACATAATAAACTTTCTCTAAAGAACATAAGTGTTAAAAAGAACGTCAAATTAAAAATCAGTTAGTAGCTTTGTCGTAAAAGATAAGCTAAAGCCATTTAATGAGATTTCCCGCCAAGGAAAAGAATCTCTTGTAAATTACAAAAGCGAAAGAAACTTACTTCTATATCCGGGAGAAAGTGTGTAGTATCTGAAGAATGCAATGTTCTATAAGGAAATGCACATGTGAAACTGGTTTGTAGATAGCTATCCACCCCACGACACCCGAATTTCCACCCTTCACTTTTGCTCGGCTTGTTATCGCAGCCACAAGTTTTAAAATAAGCGTGTCCTACGTACATACATAAAAGTGGTACCCTCTAACGACACTTACCGATAACTAACACCTACAATTTTCTTCATCTCGATATATATTACGATATATATTACCTCCAGTCACTTCGTTATACCTGCGATATGAAGAGAAAAAATTGTTAAGTCTACAGAAGGACCATTAAATGACATCGAAATGACATCATAATGACTTTCAATAGTCATTATGATGTCATTTTGATATTATTGTGATTTTTTGTTCTCCTTGGGATACATCTTATCCATTCCTTTTTGCATCTATAACGATTCTCGTTTTTCTTTCTTCATTCAATAAAGATAGATTTATTAGTTCTCTAACAGACGCATAAGATAACGCATTATCACGGTTACTTTTTATTCTTTTCTTTTTTTTTTTTCTGTTACTTTGTCATTGCTAACAAAGAATGCATTGATGGATGACAAATAGACCATCTTTCTCAATTCTTTTATAAACACTCTGTCTTGTAACTTTTCTTTTGCTTGTTTGAATTTTTTCTAAAGTCTCGTCTAACTTCTGGAGATATTCGATCTTCGATGAATTTTTTAAAACGTATTAAGAGATCTATTCTGTAATTTTTAACGATGTTAGATATCATTGCACAGCTGTTTTCTAATACGTTTTAGTTACGCAATGACACGTAACGACATCGTTAAAAGTTACAAAATAGGCCCCAAAAAATCTCTTGTGCTTAATCTTTCAACTTCTTAAGGCCACGATCAAATTCCAATTAACTTAATCGTTGATTAACTTGCAGAATTACTAGCAAACTAATTTCAAAATTTCTATATCACATTACACATATAATAATTACACCGTTAAAAAAGTTAATATTGGTTATCCTATAAATTAATCAGTTAAGATTAAGTTAATCGAAATTTAATTAAGGTTTAATTAAGGACCCTTAGCCTAAGAAACATATTGCGAATAACTCTCTCTCTCTGTCTCAGTTGGTCCTGCACAGAATCAGACTCGATTCTCTTTTCGAAAATACATGCCGATGATAAATCGATAATGAAATGTCTTATTCTATGATAGAGATAAAACTGTAGAGATATATGTAAACATGTAGAACTTATTTGATTGTGATATCGAATTATCGCGCATTACATAGATAATTAATGCGCGATTACGATATTGAGAAATTTATATTTATCTAAATTATCGATTTCAATATTTTTTTTTGAAAACTCTTTAAAAATATTTCAGAATACCCCTTATATATATATTTGAATATTTCCGTTACACATTCAATGTAATGCAAAATTATAAATACCTACTCAAGGTTGGCGTTTTTACTGTTAAAGCAAAATGTATGTTTATTTCGAAACAAGATATGTTCGACTCGCTCGTTATTTCGAAATAAAATAAGCAAATTGTTTTCCTCTTTTGTATTTACGATACATTCGCTCTTTTATTCGTTTATGCTCTTTTTTACTCAAATAGATAAAAACACAATTACTTATTTATAATTTTAATAATTTTAATGTTTGCATCTCTTTATAATATTAATATCTTAATATTTTTTAAATAATTAGAACATGCTATTGTTTAAAGTTGTATTTGTAAATTTCGTAAACTTTTAAAACTTAAAATATGAAAATTGAAACAATAATACTTTAATTTCTTCTTAATAAAAGTCGTTATCTTGTAGTTTTTGTCTTTTGAGTAAGTTTTTTCGATACTAAATATCTCGGTTTTTTCGATATTAGATATCTCTGCAATCTCTTAGTCATTTTCTAAAATATTCATCAAAGTGAAGATTCACATACATATATAAATACACAAACCCACACACACACACAGGAAATTAACTGAAGAATATAAGATTTTGTGATATGTTAGATTAATATTCTTACATATTAATCTTCTAGCTTGCTGAAAGAGTTCTTTATATATATATAAAAGATACATATTAAATAATTCAGTGGTTATAAATCTGGATTTAATTTTTTATTTAAAAAAAGCGACATTTAAGGTATGACAAACATTTCATGTTGTTGTTGTGTGCGCTTTTTTCATATTTATAATATATAAATATAAATCCATAAAAATGAATTTTTTTTGTACATGCTACAGATTTAGCACATGTGATCCATTATTGCTTCCATAATTTAATTATATATTTATCCTTAATCCACTTCTTATATTCCTAATAATGCGAACTCGAAAGGTTGATTCGCTGAATATGTAAATCAGTTTAATTTACATATATATCCTTCTAATATTTAAATTAAAAATAAATATCTTTTTAACTTTACTGAATATCTCTGAGTTAAAATAACCAACTCGAACACCGAATATTTATCTGTTTCAGCGAATGGTAAACAAGCGCCAGAAAATTATGCAGATGTAAGTAATTCATTAATATTTTTTTTTTATAAAAGTAATTATTTATATTGCTATCGTATTTCAATTTATATGATAAATCAATTAAATCTTTTTAATTAAACATGAAAAAAAAACGAATCAACATTTTATGAATGAATTATTAATTATATAATTGTTTAAAATAGGTAGTTCAGCGATTGCGAGATACATTTCAAAGAGGAAAATCAAAACCGATAGAATGGAGAATCAAGCAATTAAACCAGGTTTTACATATGATAACGGAAACTACTTCGGATATTATAGCAGCGTTAGCATCAGATTTGCATAGGGTATGGTATAAGAAAAATTAAAACACATTGTTTGTATTGTATTCTATCTTATAAGAAAAATAATATCATGCGATATGTATTATCTTGATATTATTTTCAATAACAGATTTTAACTTATAATTTTTCAGAGCAAGTTTGAAACGTACGCGTTAGAAATCGATTATATAATCCAAGAGATCAAATATATACTTATGCATATTAAAGAATGGTCAGCGACAGAGAAGGTAATAATTATTTATATTATTTCGTTATTCGAGATGATCTTTTGATTTCCGTTTATAAAATGATTTCAATGTTCATCTGATGAATATAAGAATTCGAAACGTAATATTCTTGCAGCCGTCCAAAGGATTGGCGAACTTATTCGATTCGGTGGAAATTCGAAAGGATCCTTATGGAGTAGTACTAGTCATAGGTGCATGGAATTACCCTCTTCAATTGAGTTTACTACCTATGATAGGCGCCATAGCAGCTGGAAATTGTGTGATTTTGAAGCCCTCCGAGGTAGCAGCGGCCACAGCGAAATATTTGTATGAAACTATTCCGAAATATTTAGATACGGTATGTAGATATGCTATTTTGTATGGGATACTCAACAATTCGTGAATGGGAATATTAGAGAAATAGTATCAGAAAAACTAAGCTGTAATAAAGCGTTTGCAGTTTTTATTTTTAACAGTAAATGTAAGAAAGAAAAAAAGGAAGTTTTTGAATATATAAAAATCATAGATTATAGCAATATTAATGATGTGTATTATTGATGTACGTACTAATGCTAGAGTAAAGATCAATTAGCATCTATTTATATCTATATATTCGCGATCTTTTTATGAATTATGAAAAAACATCATGCAGTAATAAGATGCGAATAAGTGGATAGCAATATAATTTTTTATCCATCATTTTTTTATGAATCATCATCATACAGTATATGATTACATCACTATATATGCAATTTACAGCTGCTTAACCATAACCTGATTTGATAACTAAGTACTTTTAGTTCTAAAAATACTTAGTTATCAAATATCTAAAATTATTGCTTGAAATGAAAAATTGTAAAGATTCTTATCACTTATCCCTTATTGTGAACAGGAATGTTGCCATGTAGTATCAGGAGGAGTCCAGGAAACAACAGAACTACTCAATCAACGTTTTGATTATATTTTTTATACCGGATCCTCTATGGTAGGAAAAATCGTACGGAACGCTTCCAATAAATACCTCACACCTGTTACGTTAGAGTTAGGCGGTAAAAGGTAAACGCGAAAAGCCTATTATACATATATGTAAATGAAAAAAATGCAAATTTAGTTGCACTCCTCTTTTGTATGAAAATGCATTAAGCAACAGTGGATTTCCAGTCCCGTATACATAGATAATACAGTGGATATGCCGATGGCAGCTAAACGTATTTTATGGGGCAAGTGTATAAACGTCGGTCAAACTTGTGTTGCACCTGATTATATTTTGTGTACAACCGAGGTGCAAAATAAATTTGTCGAAGAAGTTAAAAAGATTCTAAAAGAATGGTACGGCGAAAATGTACAAGAGAGTCCCGATTTGGCACGCATAATCACAGAGAAACATTATCAGTAAGTTTTATGTGTTAACTTCTTCGTCGCTTGTATGTATATATATATAATTAATTAAATCAGACGATTATTTTTTACTTTCTAGGCGACTTATCAGTTATTTAAACGGTAATGGCAAGATTGCCGTTGGTGGCGATACAAATCCTACAGAGAGATATATCTCGCCTACAATACTCGTTAATGTCAAATCAACGGACGCTATTATGCAGGATGAGATATTTGGACCGATATTGCCTATAATAAATGTTGATAACGCATATGAAGCAATTGAATTCATTAATAAACGGTAAGTTATTTAATTATAATATTGTAAGTATAAGCCAGAAGAGATTCGAGAAGTAAATAACGCAGTGGATTCCTTCTTCCGAAATAACGCGTATTTTTTAATCCTCAATTTTACATATAACTAAACCTTTTAATTATCCGAACATTTATTCTTTTTTCATAATTTTATTATCGGATAATAGAATTTTATTTCAATCTTTAATACCTGAATGTAACTGAAAAAAAAAAGAGAAAAGACATCTCATGTGCTCGTGTTTTACATCGATGAGTTCACTGTTGCGCGTGGGAATGCCACGAAGTAATTAGTTTTTCGCATCTAGTGAAAGACCACTCGTACTGTACGTATTTTCCATGAGCAAGAGGGTACAAGATCTAGTTATAAACCAGATCTCCAGCGGAGCCGTGTGCGTCAACGACACGATATTGCAATATACCGGTGAGTCCGGGTTCTAAGTAACAGTAGTATTGGGATCGTTTTAATATTATTTATTAAAAATTTCGGAGAAGAAATCTTCGGAGAAGTCTTGCGAAATAGAGACTAAAATAGGAATCTTTCCACCATCATTGTTCTACAATGTTTCTCCTCGTGCCTGTAATGCCTGACCATCGATGATGACATTGTATATATTCCATCAAAATTAATAATGATCGTTCTTTATCTCTCTCTCTCTCTCTCTTTGAGAAAAATGTGAAGAATATTTTTAATACTTTTAGAAACATACGCACAAATCTTTCAAATTGTTTAGGAAAGACAAAAGAGATGATTGAGTTGATTAGAAGTATATAAAAGATGAATTCTTTGAATCTCTGATAATAGGAACAACTATACATATACTGCATACTATCGTTTCTTTCTTCTGGTTTTATGGTTTATGTGGAATAACAAAAATTACTATTACTGTACTATGTCAGATTTTTCACATTGTATATATGCACATACATATAAAACTTACATTTACGCATGTATTATATATAAAACTTCTCTATTTCTATTTGTACACAAGCTATATATAAAGAAAGATAACTACAGAGATCTATTGTTAAACTGTAAATTTCGTTTAGATAATAGAACATACTTAGAAATGGTGATATAGCATACTATTATTGAAATATAAATTCAACGCAATAATAAATTCAATACAAAAATGAAAAATGGAAAATTTTTTAATGATTTGAAAATTTATTGGTATAAGTTATACGATTTCAATCAAAGTTTCATTATTAATACATATACACATATTCACACCATTGTTACTGGAATTAAACACCACAAAAAAATACACAGCGATGTTCTTACATTACTTGTTTAACACACAGGGAGAAGCCATTAGCATTGTATATATTTAGCCAAGATAAAGGAACTGTATCCGTAATCATAAAGAATACATCTAGTGGCAATGTACTTGTTAATGATGTATTATTACATGCAACAGGTATTTTCATATATAGCTGTGTTGTAAAAAGTCCAAATTACAAATTTTGCTTGAATTTTAGCTTATTTTTTTATAACACTAACACTGCTTGCATTAATTTTAATTTTTTGGGGGATATATTGCACAATATTAACACACATTAATTGTAATTTTTTGGGGGATTATATTGCGCAATAGCAAATTCTGAACACAAACTACACTTGGAGACAGTACTGACATATAAATAATGATATATAATAGTACTAACATATATAATGTGTATATATCAAGGTATATATGTGGGAAGTATATATGCTCCAATACGTGTACGAATTCATGTGTCAAGGCATTTCTATCCCCCCTATATATTATTAATAAAATATTAAGTCATTCTTATATTGTATCTTATAAACTATATATCATTATATATTATATTCTCAGTTGAGACTCTACCCTTTGGAGGGGTAGGGAATTCTGGTATAGGAGCCTACCATGGAAAATATACATATGATACATTTACGCATAAAAAAGGTTGCTTGATCCGGAATTACAATAAAATTGCAGAGATGTTGGGAAAGTAAGAGAATCTTTTATTTTATACATAGATATTTATATATCTTGCATTAAAGAATAATTATATATCATAAATTATAAAATAACACATGTTCTGCAATAGTTTATTAATCTCTCTCTCTCTCTCTCTCTCTCTCTCTCTCTCTCTCTCTCTCAATGCTTTAGTTTTCTTCAATAGTTATAAAAAACTTTTCAAAACAGAAAATATATTTTTCAGGAACCGTTTTCCGCCATATTCCGATAAAAAATTGATGTTGCTTAGACATTTACTTGAAAGAAGACCAGGAATACCTGGCATCAAATATTTGCCATACATATTGATGTTCGGCCTTGGAGTACTCACCACAATTGGACTCAAGGCTATATTGAAGGTACAAAAAGTGAATATCTAATTAAATTCTATACAAACATTGTAAACAAGTTTCTGCTTTAATTATATACAATTTATGTCATATAATTCATGTTATATGTAAGCACTGATAAAAATAAGCAATTTACATATATGTTATAAAACTATGTATTGAATAAAACATTTATTTAATCAATGGCATAGTTATGAGTAGAAGGTGGCATTGATGGGTAAAGGAAGAAAAAAATCATGATTTTTAAAATATGGCTTTCAAGATAGAGAGAGAGAGAGAGAGAGAAATAAATGCTAACATTAATTTGTTTTTTAGTTTGATTGCTTGTGCAAAAAAAAATTGTATGCACTGTGTATGTGTTTATAGGTTTATTACACATGTAGTTATTTCTTAGAATTCTATATATCTCTGAATATGAATAATACATTAAGTAGACAAGTGTTTGGTGATATCCAAAAGATAATGATTTATGCTACATCATTGTATATTGCTATTATAGTATCATGATAGTATCATTTGAAAATTAAGTCCCATGGCAAGATACAACTATCTTAAATCTGTCAATAGCAAAATATTCCCAACAATCATTATCCGAAGAGAAAGGAAGAAAGAATATATGCGAATATTGTTACAGGATGTTAACATGGATGAGCAGTAACATGAAAATGCCATGCAGCGTCTCAGGAACAAAATGTATTAGTTACTTAACATTACTTATAGTGTACTTTTTGAGTTTTATATCAATCACATTACACATTTTACAATTAATCTTATAATTCAATGTAAAAACGTTTTGTACAATACTTATGGTTTTCTATATATATATATATATATATGTATGTATATATTATTATACATACATGTACATATATATGACGGGAACACGCGAGAGACCGGAGCTGCGCGCATTGACTGCTCCCGCCATCTTCCCAGCTGCTGGAGCCGATCAAAACTTTCGATATCGATTGGATATAATGACGCGTTCTCGTAACTATTGGATACTGCGGCGAACCGCAGAATATATCGCCGTCCGAGACCTAAAAGGTAAGAAGAAACGCAGTGCACGCATCGCGCACGCGGTTGCACGAAAGTCAACGGTTGCATCGCAATATATGTACACATGTTATGTGTTATATTAGTCTCACATTGCACACATGTACAAATATATCTGATCCCTTTGCGGATTTTTTATGGGGAAGATTATTGTATTGATAAAAATAAATATTCTTGATGGGATAAGTTTTACAATGAGTTTTAAAATAAATATGATGATCAAATATTTAATTGACACATATTACTCTGCATGTTTTTTATATTCTGTATCTTTTAATTGTATCCGTATTTTCTACAAGGATTGCATAAAATAAATATATTATTTTCAATATAGTGCATTGAATATAAAACAAGATTTGAATCATTGATTCCGTTTTCTCTTATTGTTAATGTATTATATTGTAATATTAAGTTACGACACACACACATATATATGTAAGTTATAATTGAGTAATAAACTTACGGGGGAGTGTGCTTCATTTTTATTGAATTACTATTCTCTTCACGCAATATTACGATTGCAGATGTAATGTTATAAAGCATAAAAGTTCTTGAAGGTTAATCTATAGTGTTGTTTATGAATTAGGCAGCAAGTTCACGTCAATGTTCCCAGAGATAAACAAATTTTACCACATGCGGGAATTTCTGCGCGCATCCGAAAACCTGCGCAATATTCCGCTAGTGCGCATGCGCCGGTCGTCCCTTCCCTCCGGGAGCAATACTGGTGGTCGTATGGTCCGAACAGACCGAGTGATAAACTTTATTGCATAATTATGTGAGTATAAACAACTGTGGATGATCACGCTAGCTTATCAATCACCTGTCGATTATCGGCAGCTATTCAATCGACTATTCATTTTTATAATGCGTTGTGTACAACACAGTAATTACGTAATATTTTTTTCCCGATGATGATTAATTATGTAATGTTTTTCCCAGTGTTGCCGACATTAAGTACTTTTCACGTTTCACGCGAACTTTTGACTATCTTACCTTAACCTTCAGCTTCTTATGTATCGAAGCAAGCGTTAATTAAAAAAAAAAAAGAAGTACATAACCTTTACGTTCAAAATTCCTGCAGCTTATATCGTATTAATACGATACGATTTATCGTGCACCTGCGTGCGATAAGAGCCCGCTACGCGCGATAAGGAATCTTCCATGAAAAATATAAAACGAATTGATGTATTTTGAAATGACTTTATTAATCCTATATCTGTAGAAACGATGGTGGCACATACAGTACTTCTGGACTTCACGGTGTCCAGTAGCGTAATCGCCGATATGGAAAAGCGATCGAGCTTGAAGTCGGCGATTGGGAACGTATTGGCGGAATATTTCATCGGTCTCAAGCCATTGACAGAATCTAATATCGATGGCAGTTTGCTCGTTTTGTATACTGGACCTAGGGGCAGTCTAATCACTGTCAGAGGATATACGGAAGGTCTGATTACGTTAAACATCGAATATTACAAGCAGGACGACCAGGAAGCACTGTTAACCTTCGAGGTATGTATGCACCACAAATTAAAACATTTTACCAAGTAATAGAAGATTTCCTTTTTACGAAAGATTTTAAGAACAAATGCTAATAATGTTGAAAGACAATATACCCTTCTATAAATATATATATAAAGAACTCTGTAATCATTTATCCAAGTTTCTCCAAGGAGAAATTTAAAGGGGAATAAATAGCGAACATAGGTTTTCATTAGAAAATTGTAAGTAGTTTAACAAACAATGAATGAACAATGCGACATAACATGATAAAACTTATAACTAAATTAAAATATAAGATAGTAAAGTTAAAAAAAGACTGTTGAAAAAAAAATATCAAACACATAGGTTTCCATTAGAAAATTGTAACAAATTTTACAAACAATTGATTATAGATATAACGCATCATAGATATTTACATGTGACCTAATGTCTTTAAGTGATAAAATTAATATCAAATTGAGATATGAAATAGTAAAATACTGGTTGTTAAAGAAAGGGGTTCAAAATTTAAGGAGCATATAATACTCACTGAACTGAATATTAAAAGTACTTAATTAATATATTTCGAAAAATTTATTTTCTTCAATATAAAAGAGATTTTCCATTTTTACGATATAAGTGATTTATTTGTCTAAATTTATCGCTTTTATTGCTGAGAACTGCTGAACTTCAACATCAGACAAGTCAAATCAACACTTTGGTTTTTATTTCTCTCCTCTACTTTTTACTAAATTTAAAAAAATTATAGAGGTATAATTAGATTTAATTATAATTAAGAACAATATTAAATTCTGTTAAACTCTCAAAATTAGTTGTACAAACAAATTTATATATATGTATTTATAAAGTTGTTTTGAAATGTGGAAGAAATAGTAATATTACAATGTTATATGTATAAATGAAGGATTGTATTATCTTATCTAAACATGTGGTGATAAGATAATTATTATACCTAGTGAGTAAAAAGTATTAAACAATATGAGAAATCATGAAAATCCATTAGATTGATTTTATTAATTAAACATCTTTTTATTCAATTTCTAAGTATTACATGTCTTGTTAGTCCCTTCTTTTTAACATCCTGTATAGACACTTTATACAACGAAAGTAGGAAATATGATATAACTGACAGAACATTGTAGCAGTTGCGATACTTGGAAGCTGATGTTGCCATGGCTTTGAACAGCCAGCGCAGCAAACACTTACCGCCAATAAGACGAGGAACCATATATGACCTCTATCTGACATTATCAGGTAGAAAATGTTTTCCCTCAATTAAATTTTGTTCCTCGTTTACTTTTCCTAACACGTCTACTTTATATATATATATATATATATAATTTACAATTTGTAGTAAAAATTCACACACAAGAGAGAAATTTATTTATAGTTTTATGTGCTGTATATCTAATATATATTTACATTCTAAAATGTATTTTATATATGCGTATATTTTACTTCTTCAATATATATATGTGTGTGTAGATTTATATCACATGAAATATTTTTGGCATAGAGAGAGTTACAATTGCTATTGACTGTCATTAATAGATATTTAGGATAGGCCGCTTGTTAGGAATGCTAACTTAATTTTTTCCCAGCACTGTTACGTTCAGTCCAAGTTTTCTCTCCAGCATCCTCAATTTGTTCATAAAAAGATTTTAACTATTTACTAAATATGTAATATTTGAACATATATTTACTTCTATAATTATTCTCTTGCCCTTCTTGATCGTACGAATAAAAGCTGCTAGATGATTGATTGATTCAATATGGAGGATATCTTATTATGAGACTTGTTTCGAAGAATGGTTTCACAGCATTATGTGCAAAAGACAATCAAAAGATTTGATATAAATATATGGTTTTTATAAATTATTATCATTAATTCTATTATACATATTATTATTTCTTTTTCCTTTGTGTTGTTTTAATAAATTAAAATTCTGTTAAAATAATATTATAACTGAAACGTTCGTGAAGAATTAAGATTTTGTTATATATATATATATATGTACAAAATGTATAATATATATATTTGCAATATAAAATTATAAAATAGTTTAAGATGTTATTTTCGTAATAATTTATTTGCTTTTTCAGTGTTCGGAGATTCTTAAGCTTTTAATTCTGAAATTATTAAATTTCTAGATTTGTAAATCTTTATCACTTTTAGTCGTACGATTCTTGATAATACAACTACATGTACAAACACACACAAACGCAGATACAGCTGTTTTTATCATCATTCGCGTTTTACCGCTTGTTACGTATCATTTGTTTGGACAAAAATAAGTTTTGCCATATATCATGGCTTGCCAGATTTTGACACCTTTTTTTAGCTTCCTTAACAACAAGGAGTGTAGCGATTCCGTTTTACAAGATAGTATCTTTGTTCTGTTCATTCATTGGTTCGGCTTGATGATGATGATGATGATGATGATGATGATAATGATGATGATGATGAAATAATGATAATGATGATGACGATGATGGTCATGACGATGATGATGATGGCCGATCGTGATAGTTTGCCAAAGAATTGGAAGCGGCATTGCAGACAGCAGCAACCGCTACACGGTCGCACACGCTTACCCCAATTAAACGCGGTGGACCTTTTGAGAGATACTTTCCTACCGCTGGTGAGTTTTTATTTATAATTATGTTTACGGACCAGCTAACGACCGCTCTTACGAAGGAACTGCTTGTACTTAAAGGAGCTCGATCAAATTGGAAAACTAGTATTATCCATCAATTTGTAAATGTTTGTATTATAAATGTCCTCAAGCTGTTTTTCATAAAGAAGAAAGTTTAATACAAATAAAAAACATCCATCTAAACTATCTATAGTATTATGTATATATCTCTCAGGCCTTTAAGATCGAAACTCATCAAGTCACAAACCTGTAAAATTGATTTAAAATGTTTAATATCATATATAGTTGAAGCTTAAGATCTAGGCTTGGCGAGATTTTTTATTCTAGATCTACCTTTTATATTCGTTGGTAATATGCACATAAAAATCTGTACTCAACTCGATTCAATCTGGAATGTCCTTATCTCTCCGCGTTAATATCGAGGACATTGTTGCATGACGAAGCGACCGCAATTTTAATAGTATCTTTTACAATTGTCCCTCTCACATCATTTTTTCATCTGGTTATGATGCTAACGTTCCCATGCGTGTTATCAGCTTTGCCTTGCGATACCTCGTTTCCTATTTTTTGCGATGTATGATAGCATGCTTTAAATTAGCGTTTATTATAACGTGGCGACAACTATTGCCAGTAAAGATTACTCTTATTCAAGACGAACGACTACTGGAATACGACATCGACAAACTTGTGTTCGAGGCTAGATCACCGTATCAGAAGGTACAAATTGTGCATTCCAAGTCGCTGGGCAATCTGCTAGTGCTTGATGAGCTACAAAGTAAGCGACGTTGTGTTATAATTTTATCTACTATTTACAACTTACTAGAAATTCTTCTATAGATATGTCCGAAGCAGATCTTATATATACAGAAACATTAATGCAGCGTGGCAAAGAAAACTACGCTGGTAAGGAAATAGTTATACTTGGCGGTGGCGATGGCGGCCTATTATGGGAGTTGTTGAAGGAAAAGCCAAAGTTTGTCACAATGCTGGAAGTATGTAAATTAGATTTCACACATCGTGTATCGTAATTGTCAAAAATCTATACTATTTCTCATATCTTCTTTTATATTTGCTTGCAGATAGATGACGTTGTCATGAAAGCTTGTAGTCAGCATATGCGAAGCATATGTGGCGATTGCCTAGACAAGAGAAAGGGCGATAATTATGAAGTAAGGCTTAGTCTTGAATTTTTGTAAATTATTGTATATGTTTATAGGAATAATATAATGCTTTATAGATTATTGTCGGAGATTGCGTGAAAGCATTAGCGCATATGATTGAGGAAGGACGACAGTTCGATTACGTCTTTGGCGATTTGACGGATATTCCTATTAGCACAACGCCACATGGTGATGCCTGGGACTTTATTAGATTAATCTTGAACTCCTCAATGAAAGTGTTGAAACCTTCTGGAAAGTATATGACGCATGTAAGTATTTTTACTTGATTCAAAGCGTATCTAATTTTATTAATTATATAAAAAGATTTAATTCTCTTAAATTGATAAATATTAGTACATATATAGATTTTTGTTATATGTAAAGAAAACTATGTAAAATTGTTTTTAAAATTCTAGTTATATATATATGGGAATCAGTTTAAATATATGTTACAAATATGCTTCTCACCATTGTATTTAATATATTTTTCGGACATAGGGAAATGGCGCATCTTGTCCAGAATCCTTGAAAATGTATGAAGAGGTTTTATTACAATTGTGCGTGCCGGTCACGTTCACAAAGGATCGCGCCTTTGTCCCATCCTTTTTCGAAGACTGGATCTTCTATCAAGTCTCGCTGAAATGATGGAGCAAAGGATATTCAGGCAGAACTTGGAGGATCATAACAAAGTGGCCTCCTCACAATCGATTGTCTCTTTTATGACACAAGCTTTATTCCTTAGTTGTAGCCTTATTAATTAATGAAATTAGTTCCTGACTGAGAGGTAAATCAAACTATTATTGATTAATTCATCTTGTAACACATTAATTGTGGTATTTTCTCTATTCTCTCTCGTCAGATTTTTGGGAGAATTTTTTTACATTTTTATCAATGTAAAATGGCAGCACTGGAAAATGAGTTCAAAACAATAAATATGTGATAATAAAAAGCAAATATAGCAGTTTTACACTAATTTGTAATAATTATACTTTTTTTTTATAAACTTTTTTTTTTACAAATACAAGTTTTTTTTCTCTCTTCCATTGCTGCCTCAATCATATTGATGTAAATTGTTTTAGTTCAATCGCTGGTCGAAATATTCAATGGTGCTGATATTTTTACAAAAATATGTAGTGAAAGAACTAGTACCACAAAAGATGTAATTCTTTTTTAAACTTTTTTTATTTAGTCGCTAAAAATAAGATCATTGTTCATTGTTAATCCTTTATATTCAACATATGATTCTTGAATATTTAAAATGTAAATGGTTTTGCATTTTATTGTTCGCTTTTTTTTCTTTTTAATACTCTTAATAAAAGGATTAACAGCAGTGACAGATGCATGTTAATATAATATGCAGACATTTATTGCATATATAAATATATTCTGTATTGTAAGGCATGATGTATAAAAATGATGAAATTTTGTCAGGATAAATTATTTTTCTAGCAAACGTTTTTTTTCTGATTTGAATAATTGATAAAATATAACTGAACGTATAAAAGAATATATGTATACTCATTTAACCCTAAACAGTATAAAACAATACAATTTAATATGTATATATTGATATAATCAATTTATAACATAGGAATAAAAAAAATGTTCATATAAAATCTAATGAATTTTTGATTAATAAAGAGCTTTAGAATTCGATCTAAAATAAATTTTCAAAAACAGAATTGATAATTTCGTTAATTATTGTTTCAATATTTTAAAAAATGTGTCGTAGATTCTTATACAGTTTAGGGTTAAAGAAATGTGAAACCAACAAAAATTAAATCCTGCATGGGCATACAAGTGTGGATTAATTAAAATAATGATGGGTATTTCTCCAGTTATATCCTAACTCCGTGTGCAACTTTACAAACAATATTAATTTATTAAAAACCTTATTTTCTTTTCACAATATTAAATATGATATAAAAACACAAAATATTATCTATTTAACATCGATAAGTTAAGCAACAGTAAAACAAAAATGTAAAATAATCCTAGATTACTTCTGTTTCATGCAATATAATTATGAAAGATTTTAACTATATCCTTAAAACTGAGCATTTAATTAATTGGTTGCCGAATTGATAATTACATACGTACGCACAATCTAGTTATGTAAGTAAAAAGAAAGAGTTTGAGTTATGATATGACAATGAATTAAATTAATTATTTACAACAATATATAATTATATGTTATGTTCATAAAGAGGATATTGCTTGAAGAAACTGCTGCCTCAAGATTATTCATTTATTCACTATCAAGATTCATCGACCAATATATTGTTCATCAATAACATAGTACAGCAAACTGAAGATATAAATTGAAGACATACACGATAAAATAAATACGCGATATATTTTTAATAGAATAAAGTCTTATAAATACAGTCTTATAAATTGTTTTATAAATTATATCATGGATTTTAAGCAATATTTTTCAAAAGGGCACTAACCAATTTTATTCGATATTTCAAGAACGAAAAAGTATTTGTTACGTAAACAAGAAATAACACAATAAGTATCTGTTGCAGAGATACTAAAGTTTATCGATGTACACAATAAATCTTACTCTTTCTCATTTTTACAAAGCGTTTGTTGTAAACAAGAGGAACAAAATAATAAGTAAGTTGCAGAGGTACTAAAGTTTATCAATGTATACAATAAATCTTTTACTCTTTCTCCCTTTTTTTATCGTTTAAGTTAACTCTCCTTTCTCGTGTTCCTCTTTTATTTCATAATGTGTAACGATATCTTTTCAATTTACTTTACGAAAGATCATATAAATTAAAAGCATCTGGTATGTAATTCTAAGGTAGATCAGCCTTTTCAGTTTGCTTTCCATAGGTCTGGAAACTTTGGCCCCAATATAAATACCGATTGATGAATAAAATTACAGCTTATTACAGAGTTTCACCTTGGATATTTCTGAAAATTGGCCGATTTCGTGAATCGCGGGTTCTATTTCAGTCTCTGCAAGAATTTGTTGTAACCATTGCTGCACTTGTATTGGATGCTCATAGTTTATTTTTCGTTGCTTTGAGTATCTAATCAATTCAGAATCATCCTGACTCGACACTTCCTTATCTAATTCTCGTAAATTATTTTCGATCTCTTCATTTGTCAAGATATCTAGCCTACAGGACTCTGTATTTTTACATGACATCTCAAGAGACTGTATAGTCCGTGAATATGCTTTGTCGAAGGCATGCAATCCATCTAAAGATACATGTGTTAGGCCAAGTTTGCGTTTTATAATTAAAAGTGGTGAGCATCCTGACAAAGATAATGTATTTTTGAAAATCTTCAATGCATTACTTTTTACATTCTGCGAATCTTGTAAATGATTCTTGAAAGTGGAAGGCAAACTTGAAATACGCAGAGTTCTGTAATCAGATATAAAGTCCTTGCAACGTGGAAGGCTCAGATCTTGATCTTTGATTTTTTGACATGTGATTGCTTTGTCAAAGCTAACATGATCTTTATTCGCATCTTGGTAATCTACAACCTTATATGGCTCTGCATCCTTCACTGTAATGCCATTCAATCCATGTGTCTCAATGTTACCAAACTGGTGTATTCGCTCCTCCAGCTCACTTCTATCATTCAGGACTACTATCGATGATGGCAGAAAGTCCAACGAAGTCTCTACTAGTGAAAGTTGTTGTCTATGAATGGCTTCAGCCTGACGTAGCAGTTGTTTCTCTCTAGATCGAAGGGCTTTTGCTAGTTCGTTGAAACAGCTTTTGATCTCTGCCTCAATCTGTGAATGATGTTCTTTTTATAATTCTGTGATTAGGGATAAAAGTTACTTTATAATATCATATATTGATAGTTTATTCCATAATATATCTGTCTATTATAAACATTATTGACTGTTAGAAGTTTTTTGCCATATGCTTTCTATGTTTACGAGTATCAATTTTTAAATATATGTATTTAATCTGTTTTAAATATATGTTGTAAACACAACAAAACACACTAATCTCGTTACTATTTTGTAATAGTATACTTGCTTCAAATGCTTAATATATCCATTTTTAAAAAAAGTTTTTGTGATTTATACATAATTAAATATGCTCTCACATACATTTTTTATCTGTATCAATTATAATTTGACTATATACATAATTTATGTTGTACATATAACTACCTCTTAAAAACGTTTGTTGTATATATATATATATAATAAAAAACACATAGCGAAATAAACGTGAAATTTAGCGCATAAATATAGATGTAGAATAATATCGAAACTCATGGGATAAATGTATACCTGAGCAGATTTCTCCTCCAAGAATCTCCGTTTGTTCGCTATCAATTTTATTCGCGATTGATTGTCCTCATTGTTATCCGGCTGACTTTGCTTGCCTATCATGTTAACTCCTACTATGCCAATTTGATAACACAGAGGCGAAAAGAGAGTTCAATTAGCAATTCTGAACTTAGCTCGACCATCAAAGTCTGCCGAGCATATCCGTGCGTCGGGTTGCCGACTGGGATACAATGGGGGGAAATAGATGTCACTGTCTTCCACAACGGGTGTGGAAAGAAAGGGGGTAAAAGTGCTTGTGCGGCACGCACAAGAAAGTACAAGACGACGAGCAACGGCAACGGACGAGCGGCAGTCTCGCGCGGCTCGTCTTGTAGTGGAGTGCGAGTATGGCGAGTTGATTGGAACGACGAGACTTTTGCACACATAGAGAGAAAGAGAGAGAGAGACCGAGAGGCAATCGTTCTTGCTCGAAGAAACAAGATTCGGGAAGAACGATATTAACCACTGCACGCGCGCGCACGATCTCGATTGACTACGCGGAGAGATATTGAAAGAGATCGAGCGATCACGCACAACGAAGAGAGTGCCTCGCTCTCTACCTCTCGTTTTCCCCGTTTATTTATCTATCTATTGCACACTTGTGTGTATCAGAAGGCGCCGGTGCTACCGGACGCTCGCCCGGTGACTCGCGCTCCAATAGAGGAAGTGGCCTTGCCCACGTCGAGAACACGCCGGTTCTCGCGACTCTCATAAACTCCCTTTCAACGTTTGACACATTCAAGCTTGAACCAGAATCCGTACTTGAATCCAGTGACGACGCTCGACGAGTCTGAAAATTGTCTGAAAGGTGCAACATCAGCTATTAAGTACGTAGTGTACATTTTCTCCGTACACACGGGATACGCCTGTGTGCATATGTATATATGTGTATGGGTATATGTGTGTGTGAATGAAACGAATTGGCATCTATTTGTGCATTGTGTACACGCGCGCGAGCGCGCGTGTATAAATCGGAAATCATTCAGAAAGCACTCTTAACACTCGACCCGAATACAAGGCTGTATTAATATGTGTCGTATATATCTTGCATATCTGTCGCTTTTATAACCGCTTATGAACAGTCGCTGAATGCATATCTCTTTTCTTACGCATTTCTTTTTATATACGTATACATCTTATACTTGATATCTGCGTAGATATTTTTATGCAAGACAACATTTACACAAGCATTATTACAATTTTTAATCTACAATTTCAACGAGCAAGGAAAAAAAAGAAATTAAACCGGTTATACAGCAAACATCGATATTAGATAACTTGTGAAAATTGATGTGTGATACATATACTGTGAAAAAAACTTGTATGGAAATACAAGATATATCGTAACTCGATAATAAATTCTAATCGTTTGTTCAAAGTACATATATAACACATAATACATTTATATCAATATAATTTTTTAACATCGAAGAAAAAATCCATACTTTTCGCGTGACTTATTTCAATCTTATTTGCATGCGATATAATTTTAGGTGCAATTTGTCAGTGCAATTTAGTTACATCAACTATTTTTTTTTTTTTTTTTTTTTTTTTAATTTATTTATTTATTTGTCCTTCTCTGATGTTGTATTCGATCGTTGCGGTAATTTCGAACATCGTCTCTTTCGCAAAGCATGAATATGGCATTGAGATTGCGAAGAAATTGCATTGAAATGCAAAGATCTCGTATATTTGACTTTTGAGATTTGCAGTCTCTCACGCATCGATCGAGAGGTGCATCGCGTGAGATCGAGCGTCGAACTCGGATTGGCGCGCTCGTGGCTCACGCGTGCGCTGCTCTACCGTGGAATGTGTTGCGCGCAGCTGTACATGTTCAAACGTCACCGCGAAGAGACCGTAACATTCTCTATTCGTGCGTTTTAGCGGCGTAATTATTTATTCTATATATTCATTTATATATTATTCTATTTATTTCATTTACAATTAGTTTTGAATAATCGGAAAAGGATAGAATGATACTTAAGGTTTCGATAGAAATTTCGACATACAAATATTTACGTTGCGTAAGGTCTTAACGTCTCACATTTTCATATGAAAAAAAGTATATCCGGCTCGAATACATTATTGTAAACGGACAAATAAATAAAAGAAAAAAGAAAAAAACATAGTTAACGTAAATTATACAGACATACGATGAAATTTGAAAGTTCTTGATATTTTCGGGCACACATGATATCTACATTCTGGACTTCTTCCTCTTCCTGGATTCAATTTTAATATTTTTAGATTTCAAATTCGCGTAATCTCGCGAGACAATAAATTTCGGCGAAGCGAAACCGTTTATGTATTTGTATTTGTTACAGAATTGCGAGACATCGACTTAATACAATTATCAAACATGAATAAGGTGGATTATATGGAGGTGACTCTCCCGAATTATTCTTACATCTTTAATTTCGAAGAAACATTCAGCCATTACGAAACCAAGCAATGGATGATGAAGAATTGGACGAATGGCTTCTATTACTGCGGATTGTACATGATCTTAATATTCGGCGGGCAACTTTATATGGCTAGCAGGCCCAGATTCGAACTCAGGGGAATACTGTGTCTTTGGAATACGTTATTGGCTACCTTTTCTATTATCGGTTTCACCAGAACGGCACCCGAATTAATACACGTTCTCAGGCATCACGGACTACATCATAGTATTTGTACACCAAGGTCAGTTTAAATTACTAACTCAAGTTTTTGCATTTGCGAGTCTTTTAAATGTTTTTCAATAAAGTTTTTGTTTATGTAAATTCAACTAGTGTGATTATATATGAATTGAAGATATATATTCAGGGTTGGCAAAAATTCCATATTTTTTGGATAAAATCGATGCCAGTGACAAAAACTGGTATTTACATATTAATTTAAATTAAAAAAGATTTTATTATTATTTTGATTTCACTTTTTTAAACTATAGTAATTAGTATAATTTATTAATTAAAGCAAACATTTTTGCATAAAGTTTTATAAATATATTTTTTGTCAATTTACTCCATTGGACAAAGTCCGGGACGGTAAACATCGAAATTTACCATAATTTTGTTTACTCATTGGACTTTTCCATCCTATATATATCATACGACATTTTTCCTTTTTATATTTATGAGTTGATTATATATTCTGCATTGCAATATGCAATGACGTCTTAAATAATGACAACGTGCACATAATATCTGTGTGTATCTTCATTTTTAATTAAATACGTGGGCAAGTCGAATATAAACCGAACTTTTTCCAAAATATTTTCAACGTACACCCAAGTCATTTTTCTACATAGTTTCCACTAAAATCTAAGCATTTTTGCCACCGGATTGGCAGTTTTTTTATTTCCGTGTCATAAAAAATAGTGTCCGAACTCAATTGCGCAAACCGAACTTATTCTTTCTAAGTGACAAAAATGCTTAGATGTTAGTGGAAACTATATAGAAAAATGACAGGTGTGAGTTGGAAATATTTTGATCGAATAAAGAATTTTTTGAAAAAAGTTCGGTGTTGGAACTTCTGTTATATAAAACTTCATGACATATTTATGTGCATGTATTTGATATTCATACAAATTCAATGTTATTCAGAGTCAATGATTATTAGTCATGCAAAAAAAGCGGAAAATGCGTATTTTCCTTAAAGCAAATCGCTTATCATGCTTTATTTTTAATTCGAAAATTTAATAAGACAGATATCGTGTTCATATAATTTAGAAGATATCAAGAGACATATAAAATACATTTATTTCAAATATTTCAATTCGCTTACGAAAATAAGTAAAGAAACTATAAATGCAAAAAAATAAAACTACATTCCATGGAAAAAAATTAAACGAACCGACTTAACACAATTCAGATAAGGCACGTGGGCAGTATATTATACATGTCCTTGAACATATATCTTTTTTGTTTCTTATTATGCTTTCATCATCGTGAACTAAATGCCACTTGTGCTTATTTTTTAATTTATCTATATATACGAGGACTGACGTTTAAATTCGTAGAAGAAATTTATTACAATTATAAAACACACTTATTCGTTATCTGATACACGGTCTCTTTCAAAATAGTCCCCTCCTGAAGCAATGCACTTGGTCCAACGTTTTTTCCATTGCAGGAAGCAGTCTTTAAAATCATTCTCCGTGAGGCTGTTTAGAACACCCGTCATCTATTCCACCTCCGCTCGTGACTCTCAATAATGATCCTTCATGTCTTTCTTGATCTTGTGGAATAGAAAAAAGTCAGAGATTTGACCTCATCTGACTTTTTCTTATATATTGGGTTGAACGGAAAGTTCGTGCCGTTTTTGCTAACAGATGAAGACCAAAAAAACGGCATGAACTTTCCGTTCAACCCAATATATCTCGTGCATTTCATGTATTTTTCGACACGATAATATGTACTAGCATATTATGATTTGAAAGATCTCCTTTTGTTAATCACGTCCAAAAATATCCAGAAAAGGGTATGATCATCCCTTCACCACGCGAAAGAAATACAATTGCCTACAAGAATTATTATTCTCATTTTATCCTCTCTTCTTCTCTCCTCTTTTCTTAACTATATTTGATTGAACTATAATATTGATTTAAATAATAAAATAAAATAAATTTAACTTAATTAATCAAATGTCGATAATAAAATAGTCTATCTTTTCCTTGAGACATCTTTATACTGCTGGTTTTTAAATATGATTGAATTTTGATATAGTTTAGTGAAATCCTGTTTTATCTCTTATTATTAATAATTCGAATATTGACAATAAAATTGCTTGCGGGAAGTTTGATGAAATTAATTAAGAATTAATAATCATTTTGATTGCAGCTTCATCGAGCAGGATTGCGTGTCGGGCTTTTGGACATGGATGTTCGTATTGTCGAAGCTACCCGAATTAGGCGACACCATCTTTATCGTGTTGCGTAAACAGCCATTAATCTTCCTGCACTGGTACCATCATATTACCGTCCTACTGTACTCCTGGTTCTCGTATTCGGAGCATACCGCATCCGCGCGATGGTACGTCGTAATGAACTACTGCGTCCACTCAATCATGTACACCTACTATGCTCTGAAGGCGATGCGGTACAGACCACCTAAAGCGATCTCCATGGTAATCACTACGCTACAGCTCGCCCAGATGGTGATCGGCTGCGCCATCAACATATCCGCCTACCAATACCTGGAGAGCGGCAAAGTGGACTGCCACATTACTCGCATGAATATCCGTTTTAGCTTCGCGATGTACTTCAGCTATTTTGTCCTATTCGCGCGATTCTTCCACAAGACGTACCTGGCCAGAAAGAAGGCCAACAAGAAGCACTTTGCTAACAGCGCACCTGGTCACATCGGCTATAATGATAAGCTCAAAGCCAACTAAGGCGATAACCAGCACACCAAGACGCCCGGGCGTCTTTTTCTCTATCTTTCTGCCGTTCTTTTTCTCTTTTTATTTTCCTCTGTATTTTTTTTTTCTCTTTTTCTTTTTCACGCCGCTGGTCGACGTAGCCATATACATCCAGGATCTATTTATATTAGGAGATGTTAGGATTCAACGGCTTCTAGGATTCGCGCATTTAGTGGTTACCACTAATTAAAACAATGATTCTTGAACTGTGATTTCCGAACTGTGAATTTTAAATTAACGTAATTTTATTTTTTTCTCTATTTAAAAATTACTTTTTTAAATAATAATTGCATGTTATAAACAAAATTAATAATCATATTTTTTTATTAATATTATAATTAATATTATTTTTAAATACAATATGTCTTATGTTAATTTTGTTAATAATAAAAATATAAATACATGTTTGTAAAAATATAAACACATGTTTGGTTTACGAATATACATATATGTATTCATAAGCCAAATTAGGAAAGACTCGTCAGAAATATTACTTTTAGGCATGAAATTATTCTCTGCCTATCCCGGTTCTAATTATGTCTATTATATATTAGAGCTTTAATTCTAACTATTAAAATTATGTTAATTAGAGTGTCGAAATTCAAAGTTATATAAAGCCTAAAGCGCACAGAACAACTTTAAACCTTTAAGATTTGTAGGATTTACATCTTATAAGAATCTAAATAAATTCTGGAGTTCATATATAGATATATAGAAAATCATATGATATATTCTAGGAACCATCGAATTTTAAGTCCATAGAGCCTAGAAATCATATTTCTCTTAAACTCTTTAGATTCTAGAAGCCGTATATCCTAGAGGTTATAGATCTTGGGTGCGATTTCTCAGGATCTTTATATCCTAGGATTCATAAAATATATATTCATGAATCTGTAAAAAAAAATCTTCGCGAATCGGTAGATCCTAAAACATATATATTTAAGAAGATATGTATTTTACAGGATTATTTTATCTAATATTTACATATAGATCTCGTAAAATAATAAATTCATAAATTTTCGAATTTACAAAATCTAGCATTCATATTTCATGTAATTTTTACATCTTAACGATCGATCTTTTAAAATTTAAATTTTGCAAGATCTTTGGATCGTAGGATACATAGCCAATTAACGTTTTCTTATGCGCGAAAAGCATCCTGAGGAGGAGGTTCGCTCGAGAGATGAACACGCAGCGATTCTCCTTTTCATTTTCTTATATATGATTAATAAAAACTTTCGCATATATATATTGTGGAAGTGCACGTAAGCGTGTACATCCATTTCTTAGGTCTGACCGGCTGTTGCACAACATTGTTATTATGATTTTGTTACTATCTATATTTCTCTTTTGTGCAATTTAATATTGATATTATTTAATAATAATTTATAAGACCAAATATATACATGTGTAAATAATAATTTCTTATCATAAGTCCTGCATGATATACAGAATTCTCTCACTTGTTATCCTATAATATCCCATAGTGCTTTAATCCTAATTATCATAAGCTTGATGAGCAAAAATTCGTAAATTTTTTTTCGCGATCATTTCAATTTCAAACGGAAGAGAGAAATCAATAAAACGATATTTTTTTTTTTTTACTGTTTAAGCAGAATTATCGTATGACCCGTAAATCAATGATCATAAATGTTGGAAAGAAAATATTTTAGATGTAACTCCGTTATATAAAGATTTAGCTGCTTGCGTCAAAGTAAAAGTCTCGACCTAAATAATACATAGAGGAATGTGCTGAGAAGCGTTTACGGTATTGTTTGTAGCAAATGTGGCCAAAGAAAATGAGGATCCATCTGACGAACAGTCTTTATAACGGTCAAAAGGACAACGTAATTTTTATTATTTTTATTGATTGATATTTATCTGATTCGCGGATTCTTGAAGAATTTCAGAATTTTTATTAGTTTCTGTATACTTTGTGTTAATAAAATGTCTAGAGTAAAATAGCTTGCATGTATTGATGGAATAAATTTGTAGAAAGCATAAGAAAGGTACTTTATCAAATTTATTGAACTGATATCAAATTCACATTACATTAGATTAAATATATAGATTAAAATCTGTACATTTTACCGTCGAGAAACTTAAAAAGAGGCCTCAAATAAGTAATTACGAATATTGTTGACTCTCTAATACATTCTCACGGGAAAAGTTACAATAATATATAATTTTTAGTTAATAAAAAAGATATAAATATTATTTCTATTTTTATGTGTATAGTTTCATTGAAAATGCATCTTGTCTCAAGAACGCAAACACTTGACATTTTTATAAATTAAAAGTTCTCATTAAAAAAAATTACGCATGAAAAATTCTTTTATCGCCAAGTTTTTAATATGACGTACTTTAATTGTAGTTGTCAGATAAATTATCAATTTATTAATTGATTACGAAAAAATGTGTACTTTTAATAATCGCTTACGAATTTATTGTGTTAATGTTATGTCAGACTTTAATTTACGACTTTAAATTACGGATTATTATAAATATGTATATTCCGTTAAAAAGTCACATTTTCCAAGTAAAATACTCAACTTATTGTTTCGTGAATATAAACCGATTAATTCTTAATAATACACACTTGACCTATTCACGTGTCGTCGATTATTTACTATTACATTGTCGCTTCTTATGCAATAATATATGTTCATTTCAAGATCACCTTTGTACCAGTCTTCTTTATATAGCATAAGTATACAGCCGAGTCTCACGTTCTTTTAACGTGATTTATCATGTATATAGATAGCCAACGCGTACGACCAACTGATGTTCTGTCATTATCATATTGATATCATACTTCAAAAATTTATTGAATCTTTTTTGTTATTAATAAGACATATGTGATACGTTGTTATACATGATACTTCAATAAAATAAGATCTTTGTAACAGATTAATTTCTTTTTAACAGCAAGTCATTATAAATTAATTACTAATCGGGAGATATTCTGAAGGCGAAATCGATTTTGCAGCATTTAAAATGACCTTCCGAGATTTTAATCATTATGAAATACGGTCGGAAAGCTTTAAAAATGTGATTTGTGCCAAGCACTTTATCAAATTCGCTATATTTTTAGAAATGTGCACTGTTAAATATTGATTTTTCGGTGTTTTTTTGCAAAAATGCATAATTTTTAAAAATTGGTTCAGTAATCATTTAGTATAAAAAAGTGCACTTTTCTATTGCATTCCAATTTTATTTTTCATATCAAAAGAGAGGAGAATACAAGATACATCCTCAACTTTATTTCAAAAAGATCGAAGTTTCCTCTATACATAAAAAAATACGAATAATTGCATACATTTATATGGATTATTTACGAAATAACAAATAAATTAATCTTATATTTTTTATATAATATTAAATCTCTTAATGAACATTTTAAACAATAACTGATTTTTCATCACTTTTACTTATCAATTTTTAAAAATTACATAATTTTACGGAAAACGTTGAAAAATCAATATTTAAAAATATTTTTTCAAAATATTGCGAATTTTGTTAAGTGTAAATTAGTTTTAGAATTTTTTAGGCTAGTTGATAAACCTTGAATCTTTTTTAAAATTCATCGACTATAGATAATCTAGTAAATCTCATAGAATTTAAATGAAAAATCATGAAAAAGCAATGTAAAGCAACAACGGACAAACGTAAATGTAACAGTGCAAATTAAATATTTTGCTAACAATAAGTATAAGACTCTCTAATATAGTAGTATTTTATTTCAGTAGTACTTTATTATCAAAATTTAACTTTTTTTTAAATAATAACTAACCACACGTGGTAATTAACCACGTTTATTAAATAATTACTTTTCTTAATTTGATGCTGGTAATGATGTTTCTCGGATGTATTATAATTTTATAATTTTTATTTAGGCAATATTATATATATATAACTAGATATATAATAAATATATACAATATTTATCCACAAGTTAACTTATTACAATTGATTTAATTTACGATTTTATAAAAAACTCATTCAATCTTTTTAATATACGCACGATGAGTTATTTGGTAACACGCGATAAACTCGTGCATGATTCATCGTACTATCGTACGATTCTCGACTGATCAGTGATCACGCCATTCGTAAACCCATTGCATGTCAACAGTGACCTGCTGATCACAAGCAAGATACATACATATTAAATATATATGTTCAAATCTTCATTCCTATAACAAAAAATCACAAAGAAATTATTTTGTCGTTAATTATCTGTTTTATACAAACAAATCTTATATTTTTACGATTAATTAAACAAAGAAATATATCAAAAGATACTTTAATAAATTTTTCAAATAAAAAAAAAATTGCAATCTATATAATGTCTCAATTAAATTTCTGTTAACCACTACTTGCAAATATATTTTATCTTAATGTTGTGAGAAGGAATTCAAAAGAAGATTAAAAATTTACAAAAATTGTAAATGTTTTTTTTATATCTTTCTATGAACATCTTATTGTATACCAATTCTGAATACTTATATATTTTAGACATTGCAAGTTTCTAAAAAAAAATGTAGACATCTAGTATTAAAGTTAGACAAACCTTACCTCTTTATTTTGTCCCCAATCTTCGGAGATGTATGTCAATAGATCTGTTAAACCCTCAAATTCTGTTCTGCTTTGAGGTGGATTATTCTTTGGTATTTTTGGTAATAGGGAACCCATTTTGAACCTAAATTCCTCTGCATTAGTGGCTCCAGAGATTTTCCAGATTCCATAGAAAAATAAGCCACATCCTGTGATAGCACAAAGCGAGCCCCAGCCAAGGGCTCTTATCGCTAATGATGCTCCTGTTTCATTGATTCCTTTAATGCCAGAAATTCCTTCTCCAAAGTGTTTTGGGTCTTGCTTTTTGGTAACCCCCACTGCTCTGGCAAAGCCAGCAAAGGCAGAAATACTTGCGACAGTGCTTAAAAATACTGCAGCTATAGAAATATTAATAAGTTTACTGAAAAAATATGCAATGTATTGCGTAAATATTACCAGAAAGCGATGAAAAAGATGAAAAAAAAAAAAAACAGAGATAAGATGGAACTGAATTTCAACTGACAACAGTTGTCAAAATATATATATGCGAAAATAGTATATGCAAATGACAAAACTGTAGCAACACATGTTATGTAATATATGCCATGTGCGGGTAAATTAGGTAATATCAGAAAAATGTTAAAACATTAATTTCACAGTCGTAAAAAGGTCATTTGTGATAAAAATATCTTGCTTATTCACAGTATTTTGAATTTCTTAAGAATTTCTGTTGATGAGTTAAAATATAAAGTACACTGTGTAATAACCAATAGAATTTTTCTGAGCAAAGCTAAGATTAAGTCGAATATTTTTTTATATTAATAACTGTATAAAAAAGATACGATTTGCAGCTTCCTTTACGTGTAAGTGACACGTGTGTCAAGCAGAGAGAAAACGCGCTCTCATAAACGTGAGGTTAGCTTGCATCGGACGATGTATACGCGGGAGCGGATATTCCTTATAATTCCCGTGATTCTTGAATTCAACTTACCGTATATTTTCTCTTTCTGTTTTGCAGAATTCACAACGGACGTTGTCACAGTATCCTTCAATTCCGCCATCGCATTCGAAGAGAAATAACCTGACGATTATTCCGCCATTTTTAAAGCGCCCAAGACTCGCTCGTTTACACATGCGGGATAACTACACGATAATTCTATATGTCAAAAGTGAGCAAAGGCAAAGGGGTCGCCGGGACTTTTTTTTGATATTTCGTTAAATCGTGAAGCATACTTTTGCGGATTCTCGACGCTGATCCGGCTGACGAAAATGGAAGGTAATTGTCCTGTTGTCTCTTTCATCTCATATCTTTTTTTTCTCTTTTCCCTTTTGAAAAGATATTACACAGATTTCCTTCAATATGTATGTTACAGGCGAAGCAAAGCATAATATCGATGAGCTCGTTGATAATTTAAAACAGGTCGTGAGACTTGATACCTCACAAGATGAATGTTCTAATATCCTTCAGATATTGGATTCTGTGGTGAATGTTAGCAAAACTTCGATTGGAGGTATAATGAGAAAACTACGATGCACGTTAAGTTGGATGCGTGTGATCAACATTTTATACTTTCTGTTTTTTTCCAATTTATTGTCAGTCGCGTAATTTAATGTTGTATTATATAAAATTGTTATTAATTATCTATATTGTTATTAGTATATGGTTTTAGAGACATCGGAACTAGTCATTGATGAAGTTTTCCTGACGTTGCTTGGACACCAGTCTAAACAGATTGTAGCAAAAACAACAAAAGCCATTGCAGAGATTGCAAAGATTGAAAGGGGAAGGGAGAAATGTACCAATGTAGGGTTGATACAAACACTGATTGACTTGCTGAAGAAGAAGGATATAGATATACTGACGCAGGCTTCCAGAGCTCTAGGAAATATCTGTTATGAAAATGGTTATTGCAACAGTCACATTTATATGAAAGTTTATCTAGCTATCTAAAATAAAAATCATAAAATTTCAAGACTAATGCATTCATGTATATATTTATATATTAAGCATTCAGAGTTGTCATGAAAAGATATAAGTATTTGATTTAAATATATTGCTAATTTGTATAATTGTGCGAAAATTATAAAAATAAAAAATATAAATTTAAATAATAAGCTTCAATGAGAAACATTTATTTTACAGAGAATGGTAAAAAACTGGTGCGCGAGCAAGATGGGCTGAAAATAATTTTAACAGTGCTGAAAGAAAGTATTGCGTTAAAAAACACCGAGGGTGCCAGCTTTCTGCGAAACGTGGCTGCTGGTTTTTTATTAAATTTTTTAGTGGATCAGGAAGCATTGCATGAAGAGGTAAGAACATTTATTTAAGAGTATGTGCACTATAAATAAAATAATCAACGATGATGTTACAAAAGCATAATGGATAGGCAAGAATTTGTATAAACAATTGTTAAATATATTTCATCAGGCACTTAAAGAAGACATAGTACCCACTATTTGCAGTATCTTGGAGGAAGATGGAACCAGCGGTAGCGAAGTGGCAGTGCACGCATTACTCATTCTTAGCTTATTAAACGACGCGAACATTATATTTCTCGATGAGAGATTAACGAGAGTTCTGGTTAACATATTGATCAGCGACACTTCCTCCGAGTTATGTGAAATGTGTTTGGAATTATTACATGGTCAAGCCGAAGATGGTAAATTAATGATAATTTCATTGATTAATAATTACATCTAGATTAAAATGAATAATAAAATAAAGATACCTTAATGTATTTAGATTTAAATGAATTTAAAAACATTAAATTAAAAATGTGTAAGCGCATTAAGTTGAAATAATAATTGTAATAATGTAATTTCTTTTTCATTTTTTAGAAAAAGCAAAGTTGTTGCTAGCCAAAACAGGAGTGTGCGATTTGCTTCTAAAGTTATTAGAAAAACACGGTCCACATTGCAACGACGAAGAAACGCGGTTTGTTCTCAAAGTTGCTTGTAATTTAATCGTTTTAATCTTAACTGGAGGTGAGTTCTGAGGAAAACTCTCAAATTTAATTTTATTTGTTCTAACAAATGTACTGCTTTTTGTCTAGATGACAGTATGAATTTCCTTTATGATGACAGCAACGGCCCTGTTTACAAAAAGTTGGTAGAATGGCTAGAGAGTATCGACGAAGACTTACAGATTACTGCTGTTTTGGCTATGGGCAATTTTGCACGAACCGACATACATTGTAAGCATATGGTCGAACAGGGCATTCATCGGAAACTGCTAAAACTCCTCCAAAAGAACGACAGCAAGTCTGGCGATATCAGATGCCAGCACGCCTTACTCAGCGCATTACGCAATCTCGTCATACCTATGGACAACAAATCGCTAATACTCGCCGATGGTCTGATCGATGTGCTTTATCCGATGTTGGACATCCCTACTTTTCCCGTTGTTTTCAAATTACTGGGAACGCTTAGGATAGTCATAGACGGCCAAAGTGAGCACTTATAAAAATCTCTTAAAAATGACAGCAATAATATTTACTATAGGAGAATAATGTAATAATTATGGCCGAGTTACTTGCTGTAGGAGAAGCAGCAATCTCCTTAGGACGAAGGGAGGACCTGATCAAGCGAGCGGTTGAATGGTGCAGTATCGCGGACCATCCTGGCGTTCAGGGTGAAGCGAATCGTTTAATCGCTTGGATAATGAACAATAGCAGGTTCGTCCCCACATAATGGCTTTTATGATACAATTCTCAAACTTTATATATAATTTTTCAGGGACAAGCAGATTGCCTTGTCCATTATCAAATACGGAGCAGTGCAGCACTTAGTTAATATGCTTCTGGCACAGCATACATTAATGCAAAATGAAGCAATACTGTGTTTGACGATATTGACGAGGATCTGTCCGACGGAATCTGAGGAGTTGCTGATTGAGGCAAACCTTGGGAGCAACATGCGCGAATTTTTTAAAGCGCGCGATGATCTCGACATGCATATTGTGCTAAACGCGCTATCTCTATTGGATAGCGTCGTGCAATCAGGTATTACGATAATTTATCTTGGAAAAGCATTAGCTATGACACTATGTTAGAATTTTTATTCAATATTTAATCACTAAATAATTTTACTTTAGATCGGTTGAAAGAACATCTCAAAAACTGTGGATTAGCTGATGCTTGTAAAACTTTGCAGTTGAACAAAAATGAAAATAGTGCTAATGCAGAAATCTGGACGCGTGTCACTGAACTGCAAACCGCGCTGTGCACTGCCTTCGGTATGAGCTAGGAACTTGATAAGTTCTAAAAACAAAACTGGATGACCAATTCAAACATTACGCATTCACATGTGCTGCCATTGTTGTATCTTCCATTCATTCCAAAGAGCTATGCAAACTTCTCCAATGACCAAATCATCATTCGACTTGATCCACAGAGATTGCAAAATGTACTTTATTTATTGAGAAATATATATAGAGTATGTATTTCTATTGATGTGCCAACACAATTAATTATTTTGTCATAAGACTTTTGTAAAAGCCTGTTAAAAAACTATTTCAATTCAAGGTCTGATTGACTTACCAATAATAATATGTATCTGTAGCACTTTGACAACACATAATAGATTTGTAATTTTTATCATTATTTTATTATAATTTTGTTTGACATATGAAAGAAGGGGGGGGGGGGGGGGAAATGAAATTAAGAACGACCAATTATATAGTTAAAAATTTCACTGCCTCAGTTGAATTAATCAAATTCTGCGATCAAAGTCTCTCCCAAGGATGGATTGAATGTGAACGTAACAAAAGTATATTTTCCTATATTTGTGAAAAAATATGCACTCTTATTATTTACCTATATTTTTCTGATTTAAATCCACATTGCTATTATGCAGAATTATACGATAACTGCAAAAAGTAAAATATAAAATCGAAAGATTCGAAAAATAAAAAGGTTGTTACTTTGAAAGCGCGCAAATGTCAGAATCAATCTCCGGGGATGCATTGACCAATCAGGTCAAAAAATCTTTGCTCCTTTGGTCGGTATGGTATCAACCTGACTTGCTGTCATCTGGTACCGTCACGTGCCATCGTTTATCCATGCCGTGGCGCAGCAGTCGTACGAGCTGCCACGTAATGTTGTGTATGCTGTTTGTCCGTTCTCGAATTGCTGCAATTATATCGTCCTGTAGGATTACGTGGAGATAAACGAGGTGATGAGCGAGTCTGTGTCCATCCGTTCCTAATTTCGAGCGACCCGCGTCATTACAAAGGTAAGCAAATATTCCAGCCTTCGCGTTCTGTATTTTAACCTTTTGACACGCTGACAATGCGTTTTGACTGTTCAAACGTCAACCTGCTATAATTCATACTTTCCTTCCTGGATTAATAAAAACGATAATTGCCTTAGAGTGAGCTCGATGTAGCTCTGATCTTCTAATTCTCCAATCTGTCTAGTTTTTAATCTGTAACTTCTTACTCTTAGTCTAAGAGTTGCTTTGCGTAGACCTAGAATTTTATCGTAAGATTCCTACTGTTACTATTGGGGGTAGTTGTGCTTAACTAGATTCTTTTTATGTTATTTCTGTTGATTCACAAAAAAAAATTCAGATTCATTAGATTTTTATTATGTTATTATTACATACATTAAATTTATCTTGAATATGAATAAAAAAATAGATCTTAAATCAAATAGTTTATAATTACTTTTTGATATATGTAAAAAACATATCTCTGTCTCTTTAAGAGTGTATTACTCTACAATTTATCAAATATTATATTTTATTTGCAGTGTGACTGTTAAAACAACAAAATGTCACAGTCAAGTGGTTATCAATATCCAGTATATCCAGAGCCCAATAATTCCTTGAAGAATGATCCATCACCGATAGTGAATGGCCAAAATTCTGCATCCCAACAAAATGGTATGCAGTCTCCTCAGTTCAATCTGACTGGTAAGTTTTTGCCAAAAATTTATATGGCAAAGAAACTTTATATTTCAAGTATAATCCATAAAGTGTCTTCTCAGTTGCGACTTTGATTCTTATGCATTTAAGATTATAATAAGAACCAAGGCAATACAATAACTCTGCTTTTTCGAAAGAATGGTTAGTAGATTGCTAGTAAAAAAAAGCATCTTGTTCCATACCTTAATATAAAGAGTTTGTCTCAATATCCAGTTAAATATATAAACAAAATTTTATTTTGAGAAAGTAGATAATAAATTTATATGAAATTCTATGGAGCAGTTATAATCAAATGTATCTCTTATTTTAAAACATTCATTACTATAATTTAAAAATAATAATGATTAGTTGAAAATCAATTGAAATTTTAAAGATATTACTTGAGTCTCGTCTAGAAAATTTGTTGTTAAAATTTAGGTAACTATACAGGGTGTTCAAAAAAGATACCAAATTTTAACAGTACATAATACTCGTGAAAACAGATCGAAAAATCTTAATAAACAATATTCCAAAAACCATTTTTTTCCAAGTTATAAAGCATTTTCTGTTATTTAATAAATTTGGTGGTAATAAATGGTTTTTGGAGTATTGTTTATTAAGACTTTTCGATTTGTTTTCATGAGTACTACATACTGTTAAAATTTGGTACCACCTTTTTTGAACACTCTGTATATAATAAATGTATGTTTAGGCACACCATCGTCGCAATCGTCACGCGACCCGTCCAGGGAGACTTCCAGAGATCCATCGCCAACTCAGTATCTTCATAATCAATATCGGCCTCAGTTGCCTCGACCGCCAATGCCACCAATAAATGGACCTCCAAGTTCCAATGCATTGCCTTCGCTACCTAGAACAACACAACTATATAATCCTGTAAATCCTTATGGGACCTCTAGCCAATATGCCACTAGTACTCATTCAAATGTTGCAGTCAGTACACCTCCGACTGCCTTTGTATCCCAACCTAATCAGGAAATTCAGCATAGATACACGATTCCTTCGAATCAGATGCCTTCACTAGCCAAAAACCAGTCATCAGAATCTGCGCCTTCGACGTTTACAAATACTATCGAACCGAAGCTTGTTAAAGTAAACCAAAGTTATCAATGGACAGCTAATCCCCTGTCTACTAATGCTGCACAGGGGACTGTAGGCATTTCTGGAACATCCAGTAGCATTGATAAGACTAGTCAAGTCTCTACAGATCAAACTGCAGGAGGTCAAACATCCTTTATTGGAATAAATAAAAACTTGGCGCATGGTCAAAGTGATCCTACTTTTCCACCTTTATCCAATGTTAGTTTACCTCCTTCGAATATCACTCAACATTTGAATCAAACCAGGCACGTGCAACATGATCCAGCAATTTCCAATATACAGTCTTCGAGAACTCAGAATATCCAACCACAATCGACAACTGGTTTTTCCGAAAACTTAAATAATCCTCAACTCAAATACAGCAGTCAACAGAATATATTGAGTCCAACGTTAACACCACCGAATTCTAGCACGCGAAACTTACTTCCCAGTTCACAAGGCCATAATGTAGATTCACGGAATCCCCAGGATTATTGTCCTCAGCCTCTGAAACCACAGCAAAACTTACTTACTGGTTACATGGATTCCACGGGATTGGGAAATATTCCTCAAAGTCAGAACATACATCAAAATTTACCTGGCCAAAGAAGATATCCGCAACAGGACACTGCCAATACCACGATGCTACTTCCAAGAACTACCGCACCGCCTTTGGGAGCTAATCAGTTACATGGTGCGAGACCGCCGCCATCAGGAATGACGCCTCTTCCGGGACAACAAACGGTAAAGGAACTTAAAAAGATATATCACATTGTATTATGTAATATTATAATTAAATTTTATTAAATTAATATTTTTCTATGTGAAGTTGTATGATTTTATAATATTAATAGTTTTTTATTTATATTTTTAGTACGATACTCGTTTACAACAACCCGGTCCGATGACGAACGTCCCATTAGATTCATTAAATAGAAGATATCCAAATATGTATCCTGACCAATTAAATCAATTAAATAATCAGATGGGCAATCTAAATGTTACACAAACTAGTTACAACAAATTATGGGTATTTATTAATTCTTTAAATTAATTATTTTAGTGCTTTTATTACATATATAAAGAGAAAGAATTTAGCTTATAAAAATATGTTACTTTAAAATATGTTACTTTAATATATTACTAATATTTTTTCTTTAGGGGATAGAATCGGTAGACCTTCTACAATGCAGAAATATATTGCCATCTGCAAAAATTGAACCACCAAAGATCAGGTTACATCAGGAATTCCTGGATAACGTAAATTGTAATCCTGAGTAAGTTTTCTTCTTTTCTTTATTTTTTTATCTCTAAGATGTAGAGATTACATTCTTATTGTAAAAGAGAACCCAAGTATTTGATATATAATTTAAAACATTGAACAATTTAGAACTTTTGTATTGTCACAGAAATTGTTTCAAGATATAAATATCATTCTTACATAATGTATTAAATATTTACAGCATATTCAGGTGTACATTGACAAAGGTCCCGGAATCGAATTCGCTTCTTCAAAAATCAAGATTGCCATTTGGTGTACTAATACATCCGTTTAGAGACCTAAACGTAAGTAATGCATGTTAATGAATTTTTATAATTTAAATTATATAAGAATCTAGATCGTGCAAAGTATATTTTTAAGTAATTATTTAGAATAATTTTTGTGGAATAGAATAAATTTCAGTAATGTGAAACTTGTTATTTGTCGCAGCAGCATTTGGCAGTGATTCAATGCAATACAATCGTACGTTGTCGAGCTTGCAGAACATATATCAACCCATTTGTATATTTCGTCGATTCGAGAAGATGGAAATGCAATCTTTGTTTCAGACTGAATGAACGTAATAAACATGCTAGATTTACTTACATTATTATTTAATATTATGTCACAATTAAATATACTTACATCTCGTTGTTGCAGTTCCTGAGGAATTTCAATTTGATCCTGTGACGAAATCGTACGGTGATCCATCGCGACGGCCAGAGGTCAGAACTGGCACGATAGAGTTTATTGCGCCAAGCGAGTACATGGTTAGTGATTATTTTTCTACTTAATTCCAATTACATATATATATAT